TAGCCTTTCTCCATTCTGTGAGGCGCGTTTGCAACGTCACGTATTACGTAATTACGTTCAAAAGGTCACGGGCGACGTAGCCAGAAGTACAGAGTCAGTGTTTACAAGTTGAACGCATAGGTTGAACGTGAAAACTAACTCAAACGGCGTTTACAAAAAAGGAATTAAAAGGTAAAACAGCGATGTCGGACGATTTTGATTCTGTACTTCCGGCTACGTCGCCCGTGACCTTTTGAACGTAATTACGTATTACGTGACGTTACAAACGCGCCTCACAGAATGGAGAAAGGCTAGCATTTGTCCTTAGAAAAGTTACATTTTTGGAATAAGCTTTGAAATAACCGATCGTTTCGCATGATAAGACCCTTATTCATGGTTTGGTGACGTTTAAAGACATTTGAAGCTGCATCTGAAACTGTTATTAACACTATCTTTTGGACCTTGAACCATCCGGTTCCCATTGAAGTCCATTATATGGAGAAAAATCCTGGAATGTTTTCATCAAAAACCTAAATTTCTTTTCGACTGAAGAAAGAAAGACATGGACATCTTGGATGACATGGGGGTGAGTAAATTATCAGCAAAAGTTTTTTCAAAAGTGAACTAATCCTTTGAGATGCATTTGGTCGATCGGATCACAAGTAGATGCATAGACACACAAGTCTCTCTCGTCTAGTTGTGTCCACTTTCAATCATTTCTGTCCTGATTTCTTCGAGGGGAGTGTCTATGGGCGGGTAAATATGTGGGTTTTTTTCAGATCTTTTGATCTAATGGATGAAATAAGCTCATGCAATTTACATTATAAATATTTACGCAATGGGAGCGCAGAGAGAACATTATGCTTGGTAAATTTTTTAATCTTCAAAACAAATCTGGCTAGTGCGCTTCTGATAGTGTTACGCATTATGCCTGGTTCAGATTACACGATTTTTTTTTCTGTTATGATAGTCACTGTGTCAGATTACGCGATTTTGACTCCTAAAATCTTGTTGTGTCGTGGACAAGACACATGTCAGACTACACGTTGCTTCCTGACCAGTCTTTAACGGTGCGTGTGATGTCATCGAGAAGGCGAAACTAGTAGCGAGTGACTTCCGGAATGCTCTGGGCTGTCAATCCTCCAAAGAGAACTTGAGGTAAAATATTGTTTTCTTGTATATTTTTACTGTTAGTTTTAACGTTAGCACCATCGTCTCTCTTTCGTTTCGCCATTTTTGAAAGTTATTTACGGAAAAGCTTCTGTTCTCCTATTGGTCAACCTCATACATGTGACGGAACCGTCGTGGACGACCGTTAAAAAAATGAAACATGCTAGTCTTTTTGTCGTGATGTGGTGAAGCATCGCAGACGTGACGTAGGTTGTCGCCCACTATGACACACTATACGAGATGATACGATCGAATCTTGCGTCTCGACGCCCGTTGTCGTTTACGAATCCCCACGACACCCTACGTCAAACGGATTGTACCAAAATCAGGCTAAAATCGTGTAATCTGAACCAGGCATTAGGTCAGTTGGAGGAGAGTAGACAGTCATTCGTGGGAGTTTGAACACATTCGTTCACATGAGCGTTTACACAATGAAAGCAAATCTGGTCGACCAGCTCAAAACGATTTTAGACCCCGTTTACAACTGTATTTAAAGGGGCACTTGGCAACTCTAGTTAGTTCTTCGCTGATTTCCACTGTTCTCATCAGCGCCCCCTTACAGCTGTGCGGTGTATATTTCACAACACTGTCAATAAGAAACTCACTTGCGGCGCCTTCCTCCCACTTTCTACCGCTGCTCATGTGCTTCTGTTATTATCGGAGCCGGCCAACTCTATTGTGTGGAGCTATGTCTACCGAGTGGGTAATACATCATACGCAGTATTATAGAATTATGTCAAATTAGCATTTTGTGTTTCTCACTCGTTCTCGCTTCTCACGAGACTTCTATTTCCAACTTACCGGGACGTTAGTCCTCATATTGCAAGGTTGGTTTTCCGCTGGGGGGAATGGGGGAAGCCACCATTCTCTCCAGAACAGGTTATTGAACCATACAAATGATTTCTAAATGGTTTTAAGTTGAAATAGTTGCCAAGTGCCCCTTTGTGATCGGATTAATTAAAACACTTTCTCATACCAGGTGTAAACAGAGACATTGTTGCCATCTGATTCACCACATAAATCTCTCTCAGGCACCATTTTCATTTGACTTCTTAGCTTCAGTCTCAGCTCATTTCTCATTCCCGTATCTCCTGTCAGGCTGTTCTTCGTGGGCTCCAGAGAGGGCCACCTTCCAGACTACCTGTGCATGATTCACGTCACCCGCTACACCCCCATCCCTGCCCTCCTCTTCAATGTCAGTTCCCATCATCTCCATTTGTGTGTCACAATATGCTGTTTCATATATGTACTTTTGTTCTGTTTCAATCCTTATTGTGTCTATAACTGGGTAGCATTCTCACACGTTTTGTTGTGTGACAGGGTGCCATGGCTCTAGTTTATCTGTGTGTGGAGGACGTCTTTAAACTGATCAACTACTACAGCTTCAGCTATTGGTTCTTTGTGGGTCTCTCCATCCTGGGACAGATGTACCTGCGATGGAAACAACCAGACAGAGAGCGACCACTCAAGGTAAACACACAAACCAGAATCTGCTATTTATTAGTTTGTAATAAGTGAGGAAGATGAATCCAACTACACTTGTTGAAGGGATATTTTTATTCAAACTAAACCACTGCAACATTCCAGTGTTGCTTTTGGAAGCCTGTTTGTGTCTCGGAGTAAAGAAATTATTAAAAAAGTTGAAAATTAATAAAATCATGGTGTAATAAAGTCTCAGTGTGAGTTATAAAGTTGCAATTGTGAAATAAACGCGTCATCAGAAAAGAGAATTGATGTTGCTGCAAGATGGAGGGGAAGTTATTTTGATTAAAGATTACGAGGGTACATGAATTTTAAGAAAATTATGATGTTCACTGATTAAAATGTAATTTTGTCAAGGGTCATACCCCGAAAAGGAAGTCAAAACAAAAGGTTGGGGTGAAAAACTCTCATAAATAACTATTCATTTTGGTTTAGTGCACAAACATAGCGCTCAAACCATCACAGACAGCAAATAGTGTCGGCCCAGATCCGGCCCACATCGTCACCTTTATTTATTTTTTACAATACAGTCTGTATCAAAGCAGCTTTTGTGTTTACATAATATATGTGGGTGCACTGTGTATAATAATTTTATATATATATATATATATATATATATATAAATATACGAAAACATGCTTGTATATATTTAAGAAATATTTTCATGTATATACTGTATATAGATTTATATAGAATTTATATTATATATAAATATAAATATTTTATATATAAATAATATATATTTTTTAAATATACATGCATTTATATAGAATTTATATTATATATAAATATTTATATATAAATAATATTTTTTTTTTAAATATACACATGCATGTGTGTATTTATATATATTATACAAAATAATTATAGACAGTACACCCACATATATTATGTAAACACAAACTTTTATTTTGAATGCGATTAATCGCGATTAATTGTTTGACAGCCCTACTCCAACAAATAATTCCTTGCACGTACAGGAAGTCATTTAGCAATTCGCACAGTCTAAACTCTCATTTATCTTACTTTGTTTCTTTTTTTTTTCCAGCTCAGCTTGTTCTTTCCAATTATATTCTGCATCTGCACTCTATTTCTTGTGGTGGTGCCTTTATATAGCGACACTATCAACTCGTTAATCGGCATTGGCATTGCCTTATCGGGAGTTCCCGTCTACTTCCTGTGCTGCCATCTACCTGCCACACGGCGGCCAATGTGGCTCCGCAAGTTTATTGGTATGTCTTCTAATACTGGGTTAGGTTTACCGAGTTAAAACTGCTCCTAATATTGATGTGTCTATATTTCCATTCCCCTTTTCTCCAGCATCTTCAGGTATACTCATTCAGAAGGTGTGCTACTGTGTTCTTACTGAGATGGACACCGCGGATGAAAAGGCAGAGTAGACGAGGACGATCCGACGATCCATTGATAAGACAACTGTGACATAAACTTGGACATGCAATACACAAGCTGCTGATGTGATTATCCTCGTTTTACACTGGTTACAGTTTTAGATTGATCAGATATCAAAGCAAGTCCTTTATATTTATAAATATTTATATAGAAGAGCTGCATCTTTGACTAGTTGGATGCTGGTTTAACGGGAAACTAGAAACAAACTGGTTTCACAGACATTTAGGCCTTAGTTTAATTAGGACATTTAAAGGTGCAATAGATTATCTACAGCATTATTTTTGTAATGCTGGTTAAAAGTCTCCACATATCCTGTCTCAGAGCCTAGGCTACCTACAGAGACGCGTTTTTTTTACCTGTTTATGGGGCGGGTACACTTTTAGAAGACAAGGTTCTATCAGCGCTACATATTTGGAACCCCTAAAAGGTTCTAAACAGAACCCCTTTTAAGGGTTCAATAATAAGAACACTTTAGGGTCCTTTGTCACCAGGAAAAAGGTTCTATATGGATCATTTGTTTTGTGCTTTCCGGATTAAATATTTCATATTATTGACAAACATCAAAGACCCTAAAATGTATTTATGAATGCATGTGAATGATTACAAAATTCAAGATATGGGGGTTAGAAAATATATATATTTATATCATTTTATGTAGTTAATCAATATCACACGAAGAGTGCCATTTCAGTTTTTCTCCTCCAAAAATCAGCATGATTAAAATGTGATATGTTACTACAATAGTTTAATAAACAATAATTTAATTACAACTACAAAATGTTGCAGAATAATGTAATATATGAATGAATAATAGCCTATAAAGAACCTTTGTGCCAAAAGGGTTCTTTCTTGTCATTATAGAACCTTTTTAGCATAAAAAGGTTCTTTAGAGTTGAGTAAAGAACCCTATGCTTCATATATACTATATAGAACCCCAATGAAACCTTTTTTCTAAGAGCTAGAGGATTGTTAGGAAAGATTAGATGAATGTGATCATTTTGTTTGGGCCTGAAATCGCTGATACAACCTTTATGGTCTAAATGTATTTTTAATAATATCATCTGTCCGAATGAAATGAAAGTATGCCTGTTCACGTAAACATAATCTGCGGGTTCACGTATGCTATGTAGACAGAGCAAGAGTGGCAGGCAAACAGTACTATTTTAGTGCTGTTAGTCACTGTACTGTAAAGTTTTCTCACCGTGTCTCTGGTCGTCTCTTCTGGTCCGTGTGTGTTCATGTTTTGAAGGCGGCATGGCTTTGGACGGCGATATCATGCTAACAGGCTAAAGTTACCTTCAAATGTGCCTTTTGAAAAACATTACTGGTGAGCATCCTGAGACAAAACATTGACACTGACTTATTTTAAGATATATCAGTGCAAGTTGTAACAGCTAAAACGTGCATTTTAGTCTGGGACTAGACTTGAGCCTCGTCTGTGAAACCGTTGGATAACGTGCGACGAAACAATTTTGGACTTGGAGGTTGTTGCAGGCAGGGGTTGGTAAGATGATGAAATGATAGCACTGAAAACGGAAAAATTACTTAGAGACATTTGTACCATTGCTTTGAAACAGCTGTAAACCTAAATCAATCTTGCACATGATCGTTTAACATGAATTTAGATGCTTGTACACTGAAAGCCTAATGAAACACAATGTTCTACACAATGTTTTATTTATCTTTACAAATTTATATCTGAATATCAAGCAGTATTTTCCATTTTTTTGTAAAGACTGAAATGACAAAGGCAGTGTTATTATGGATTTGTGATAAATAAAATGTTGAATAAGACAAAAAATAGATGAAATAAAGGACAAAATGTAAAACCTGTGTGTGCGTGTTAATCATGAGCACATTAATTTACGTTGGGCTCTTAATATTTTATCTGTCATTCTATTAATGTGCTTTGGCTGACAACTACAAGAGGAATATACATTTGTGTGTGTGCATGAATAAACCAGCACTTCAGCAGACTGTAAATGAATGAAGAAGGTGGGAAGGCAATAAGATTGCTTTTTAATGGCATGAAAACACCTCTTCATCAAATGTCATATTTAGTCTTAATTTCACTACCCATCCCTTAGTCTTTCTCAAAACATATATGTACAAAGCCATCACAAAATTCTCCATCAAAATGTTAGCCAATCGTCTCTTCCCAGGGCCTCTTCTTGTCATCCTTTGGACTACTCGATTTTCCTGTTGACATTGGTGCTGCCGACTGCTGAAGGGGGTTATGGGTAAAAGTCTGCCTCAGGGGTCCTTGGAAAGTGCAGGAATAAATGACAAATGTGAACGGCAAGCATCATCTGTAAAAACATTGCCTACCCTAGCAATGATAATAAGAAATGTTTCTTGAGCAGCGAATCATCATATCAGAATGATTTCTGAAGGATCATGTGACACTGAAGACTGGAGTAATGATGCTAAAATTCAGCTTTGATTAAAGGAATGAATTACACTTTATACTAAAATAGAAAACTGATTTAAATTGTAATATTTTTTTTTTTTTAAATAAGACTTTTTTATACTACTGATCATAATATACATCTTTCAAAAGCATTATGATAAATCTTACTGACCCCTAACTTTTGGAAGGTAGTGTAGGCAGTAGACGGTTTTGAAACTGAGCTAATCCTCACCTTTGGCTGCCATATCCAGGTGTCCTTTAATTCTCCTGTCTCTTTCCTCCAGCTGCTGAGCCAACTGGGCATTCTTCCATCCTGAGGCGAACAGACACAGAAACATTATTATATAGAGAGAGTAGAAGACAGGCAAAGGACAAGGCCCTGTTTACACCTGGTGATAAAGACGGGTTTTGATCGATCGGATCACAAGTGGACGAGGGAGACACATTCCCGTTTACACCTGTTGTTTTAATCCATCTCTTTTGTCCACTTTCAACCACTTCTGTCCTGATTTGTTCGAGGAGAGGGTCTATGGGCGGGTAAACGTACAGGCTTTGTCAAAAAAAATGGACAAAATGAGCTCAAGCAATTTGCATATATGAACACGACTGGAGATGAAGGAAAATACACAGAAAAAGGCAGCTTTCGTTTCTGCTCTGACAGCCACAAGATCGTGTTAGAAATCAGGAATGATAAGAGAACATTGTATTTGGTACGTTTTTTGTCTTCAAATCAAACTTGGGTCTTCAGCCAGTTTAAATCCCATCTGGCTAGCCGCTTCCCATAATGTCACGCATTAGTTCAGTAGTGGAGAGGAGACGGTCTTGTGTGACTGTTTGCAAGCATTCGACCAGTTTCAGGATATATACGAAGAGTTCAGATGCAAAAGCCTCTAAATGCCATTTGAAATTTTCTTCTTTAATGATGATTTTTATCAAACTTGTATATTTAAGTTCAGTAATTTCACTTAAATGGCAATGATAATTACCTATTAATTGTTATTTAAGTGAAATTACTGAACTTAAATATACAAGTTTGATAAAAATCATCATTAAAGAAGAAAATTTCAAATGGCATTTAGAGGCTTTTGCATCTGAACTCTTCATACAGTAATCCTTAAGTTTAATTTACTACTTTTTAATACCTTTTTTACTACCTTCAGAATTTTTTTTAAAACCATCCCGACACTGAATTGCAAGCACCTTTCTATTACACAGATTTTGACATTTATAACATACAAAAATGAATAGATTTAGAGCACGCATTCCATTTTTATGTTTAGTGGATTGCATTAGCTCCCATCCAGTTGACACTGATGTTTTTTTACACACCAAACAATAGAGGGAATGCATTGACATCACTTTCCCGCCGGTACAACCCCCCTCAACCTGACTGAGTGGCAAAAGATCTGCTGCGTGACTGGATTTAATAGGGGAAACTATTAAACGAAAATGCGACTAAAACTAACAATTTGATCAATTTAAACTAAATGTTGGACTCAATATAGTTGGACTCCTAACAACTTACTAAAGATCCAGTGATCCATGGATATTGACATGCAGCCAGCAATCATGTCGCTTGACATTTATGTTTGCCTGATTTCAATAAAAGGGAAATAAAAGCAATATATAGATCTACATAAGCTAAAGCAAATTTGCCTGTGAACGCTTTATATAAATACAATATACCTATATTGGTCTAAATCCGGGTGATCACTTATATCAGGGTTATATAGCCTCTATATATCATCATATCGTTCAGCCACTGAATATGACGCCAGCATCAAACATAGACAGAGATGAAAGATCTTTGATTGTGCCCAGATAAGCTAAAGCCCATATTTATACGGACTAACGCAAACACAAAATAGGACACCTGATAGTCTGAAAAAAAAATACCTATTTTTTTAAAAATAATACCTCTCAGACTACATTTAACACTTTTAATGGCCTTAAATTTGACAATTTTGATTTATCACTTTTTAATACTTTTTAAAACCCCGCGGACACCCTGAGTTTACACTAAAAAAACACTAAAAGGGTAGAAAGTGAACAAGCTCAAAACGTTTTAGACCCGTTTACACCTTTATTTAGCGTCGTCCAATTGTGATCCGATCGACCAAAAACGCATCTTAATACCAGGTGTAAACGCAGTCAAACCTAAGAAAAATCATTTTCAGTAATTGAAATAAAGCTGAAATAAAATAAAAATTAGATTTTTACAAACAAATGAAAATTTGAAATATTGCCTTTGCAACTAACGGAAATAAATAAGGAGCATCTGTTTACACCAGTGTTGGGTAAGTTACTCTAAAAAAGTAATTAATTACTAGTTACTAATTACTTCGTCAACAGTGTAATTAGATTACTGTACTAATTACTCTCTCTAAAAAGTATTTAATTACTTTTAATTACTAATTACTTTCAAAATCCCATATCAATCTCAACCAGCTGAATAATACAAGGATAGACATGAATCTGTTTTAATTCTTTCAAATAAATACTATAAAATATTTAGACACCTCATAAAATGCATTCGAATCGCTGTGAGATCGGATTGATCTATACACGGTATTTACCTCAATTACATCAGAAGTAACTGTAATTAAATTACAGATAAATTAAGAGTAATCACTTACTTTACATTTTCAAGGGAAAAGTAATTAAATTACAGTAACTAATTACTTAGTAATTAGTTACACCCAACACTGGTTTACACCAAGAACAAATAGCTCATGTTGTTGGCAGAGGCTACTTACACTAACTCACTATACTAACTAAGGTAGGTGGCGTCAGTTTTAGATGCAACCGAGCAAAGCTCAAATCCACCTTTTTACAAACGTTTTTACATTCTTCTCCCTGTTCCCATCGCATACCAGTACTGAGAAAATATTTGAATAGTACAAATAAAGTGTTTAAAGGGTATTTAAATGGGAATACATGTGTTTAACAGGCTGGGTTAGAAGTAGGTTTAGGGCTGGGCTTTATTACAGGATCCATTTAGGATCTAAATATATGTGTATTACACCAAATTTGTTGTTATTATTGCACACTGTTTTATAATATACTACAATACACTGAGGTGTGAAGTCTATAGACAGCATTTAACACTAATTGCCCTCTTTTACACAACTTTTTGTTGCTATTTACACTTGCAAATAGCCGCTGTCAAATTTTAGTTCAAGTCGAAGTACTAAAACTGAAATGAAAATAAAGCTATGGAAATACATCACATATCAAGATACTAAAGATTGTAAAATAAAAGCTCATTTAAAATATTAATCAATTATAAATTAATTAAATCCATCCACACCTTTCTTGATGCTTTCTATGAAACCTTCGTTCATAGGGAGTGCTGAAGGTGGGTGTGTGATGCGTTCTGGGATATTAAGCTTCTGTCTCACTGTCGGGTGCTTCAGCAGGGCCACTTGACCCAGCGAGAAGAGGTTAGAGGTCAACCAGTAGGTAAACACCGCCTGTAAAACACACGGACCACATGACACAGCATGAAAAGAGTAGGCCGATCCCTTCACAAATATTGTGTGGCGAGAGAGTGCGAGAGACTAACCGTGGGGAAGTGAATCGTCAGAGGGAGGATAACAAAGGGCATGACCCTGAAGACGGTCTTCATGGCCCTCAGATTGGGGTTGTCTACACCAGATTCAGCTCCCAACTAAAAAATAAAACAACACACACATTTGAAATGGCTGCAATAGAGTGCTGAAGTGATGACGTCACTTTGTAGGAAACTCGAAAGCTAGCGGCGCATGGGTTCCCTCGATCCAAAAGCTATGCATTTTTGCCCATAGACTTTTGGAAAATCGCAAAAAATAAGATCTGTGTTCAACAAAGAGTTGTGACCCTTACACGGTTTGGCTATCGAGACTTTTTTTTTTTTTTGCTTTTTTGAAAAACACACGCAGACACAATAAAGTAAAAAAAAAAACAAGCAGGTTATAACTGTGTGTTTTATGTCATAGATCAAAACGTGAAAATATTTAGAGGCTTCGTTCACCACAGACCTTATTTCAGCCGATTTAGCAAAAACCCATTCAAAAATCCCATAAGCTTTAGAGCGAGTGAACCGGGAGTGCTAAAATGCTAACTCACTTCAGCATTATGGCCTACAGAGTAACGTCGTTAATATGGTTTGTTAGATACAAAACCAATCTAAAAGTTTTAAAGCTGATCGTATGGTGACTTTTATCCCTGGTCACAATATGCTTTCATTGAATCAAAAAGAGGAATTATAATAATTTTGAATTAGTAAATTCTTAATTTATTTTTATTAACTAATTTACCTCTAAGATGGCAAACATAGTGCCAGTCACGGCAACGGGGAGAATGTAAAATGGATCAGATGCGCTTAGATCTGTGAACCACCAGAGGCCGCCAGTCTGCAAACTTGGTACAGGGAGATCAGCCATCTTACGCAAGGCAATGAAGAAAGAGACGAAGATTGGAGCCTGAAGAGGAAAGAGATAAAAAGTGAAATATATGACTACTAAACAGAAGCTGATTGTCCAAGTAACTTGACCTTAAAGGAGTAGTTCACTTAAAAAAAAAAAAAAAACTTTTGCTGATAATTTACTCACCCCCATGTCATCCAAGATTTCATTTCATTGGACTTCATTGGGAACCAAACGGTTCAAGGTCCAAATGAGAGTTTCAGTGCAGCTTCAAAGGGCTTTAAACGACACCAGACGATGAATAAGGGTCTTATCTAGGACCTAGGATCTAGGTCATGACTCGGAAAAAGATTTGTTCATTTTGATGAACGAGTTTGAACAGGAGAGTCACGAACACGCATCACAGAACAGAGAAAGGCGAGCATTTGAGCTTATAAAACTTAAACTTTTTAATTTATTTTTGAAATGACTGATCGTTTCGCTTGATAAGACCCTTATTCACCGTCTGGTGTCGTTTAAAGCCCTTTGAAGCTGCACTGAAACTCTCTTTTGGACCTTGAACCGTTTGGTTCCCAATGAAGTCCATTATATGGAGAAAATCCTGGAATGTTTTCATCAAAACCTTAATTTCTCTTCGACTGAAGAAAGAAAGACATGGATATCTTGGATGACATGGGGGTGAGTAAATTATCAGCAAAAGTTTTTTTTAAAAGTGAACTACTCCTTTAAACTAAACAGCGATCAAATGCTCATAAGAATGAAGCGTTAACAGTAACTGACCTGTACCAAGGGCACTAGGAACCCACGCAAAGGGTTCACGTCATGTTTCTTCTGAAACATCATCAAATCAGTATATGCCTTTGAAACTGAAGAAATGAAATTAATTAATTCTTAATTAAAAACAATACAAAAAAAAAAAAGAATCCACTACTAAAAAGTTGGAGACTAGAATTGAGAAAAGGAATGCATGAGATAAGATCAGATACATGAAGAGAAAAGATGACGCACTTACAATCAAATTTGTTACCGCTCTGCTTGGCTTCATTCATGCGGTTGGTGAGTTTTGTCATTTCCGGCATGACGTTGTTCAGTTTGGCTGCCTCTCTCTGCCCCTTTACAATGACCGGGAACACAACACACCGAGCAACAATGGTGCCTGAGGAAAACAACGGACAAATGGATAGATAGACAGACAGATGTAATTCTGCCTATTTTATAAACAGGGATGCACAAATCTACCTGCAACGATGGCCCCCCACCATGGCAGCCCAATGCCAACATGCATAAACTCCAGCAGGTTCTGGATCAGGCCCACAGGTGTGGCGTTGCACAGGCCGAGCTCTGATAGGCTGGCTTCAGCGCCGGCTCCCTGCAGAACATCCAATGCAGTGAGAGGAGCCTCGGCCACTTGCTCTGTGATTGGTGGTGTGACTGTGGGGGCGGGGTCAGCAGCAAGATTTGGGATGGAGACCGGAACAGAGAGAGCAGCATCTGCCGTTTCACTTGGAGCCGACAAGCTCTGAGCTGCTTCAATCGTCTGTAAAATAAGTAAATATACTTGAGCAGTTGAAAATCAATTGCAATAGTCAATTCACAGAATGACCTTCAGAGATCTGTTAGATCTAACTGAGATTAATGGGAGGGGGGGGTACTTAAATAGACCATTCATAACGCAAAACACATAGCCTTTTAAAAATTTTAAGCATGAGAGTCAATTGGCTCTTCTGAATTCAGACCTTAAACTCATTGGAAGTCTTTGGGATGTGCTGGAGGATACTTTACAGAGTGCTGGACTCTAAATAATACGAACGAAATGAACAAATTGACTCGAAAAAAGATTTGTTCATTTTGATGAACGTGCATCACCGAACAGAGCAAGGCGAGCATTTGAGCTTATAAAACTTAAACTTTGTTATTTATTTTTTTTAAATGACCTATCGTGACCTAATGACCTATTAAATAACCTAGTATCACTTGACCCTTATTCATCATCTGGAATCTTCTTTTTGGACCTTGAACCGTTTGGTTACATTTGAAGTGCATTATATGGAGAAAACTCCTGGAATGTTTTCATCAAAAACCTTCATTTCTTTTCGACTGAAGAAAGAATGACATGGACATCTTGGATGACATGGGGGTGAGTAAATTATCAGCAAAAGTTTTTTTATAAGTGAACTACTCTTTTAAGGTCTGGCGGTTTTGCCCATTTAAACCCAAACAGAAATCTTTTTTGGCCAGGCAGTGTATATGGCAGTAGTAGAAACACTTTTCCACTCAAAGAAACTTCATTTCGAGCAACCCACCTGAGAGCTGTTGTGTCTGACTGCCACGGCACTGACCAGCAGGAACTGGCCATGACTGGGACACCCAAGAAGTGCCCTAACTAGAGGAACCCTACTCCCTCTGCCAGTGTGAAGATGCGATCTCGGTACAAACCACTGCAACAAAATGGGAGTCAGGAAATATGTCAGATTGCACTATCAAACACAGACCCTTCAAAAAGATAAGTAAATCAGTAAATTCACCACAATTCATTTTGTGATTCCAGAAGTTCCAAGAACTCCATGATCTTCAATAAGAACTAGTAAGTTTGTAGAGAAACTTTAATGCTGGCTTGAGAAAGCCTAGCAAGAAAGTTTAAGTAGTTTTAAAGTTTGAAGGTTTTGAGTTTAAAGAAGTTAAGGCCATGCTGCTTGCTATGGTGTTCTGTGTGGTTTCTAAGGTGTTGCTATGTGGTTTTTAGGGTATTCTGGTTGGTTGTTAGGGTGGAAAAAAGAAATACTATTGTAGGTTTCATATTATATTATTTTTTATTTTAATTCAAATGGATCATAAAAAATAAATACTATTACATGTATTAATTATATATGATAGTATTATATATATATATATATATATATATATATAAAGTCATCCAGCTGAGGACCTCTTGGAGCTTCGATAAGGGCTAAATTATATGACAAATTATAAAGAAAATTAGTTATCAGTGACATGAGGACGCTGTTGCTCTACAATAAAAGTACATAAACAAATTATGACACAAAAAATATTTAACAAAAATTAAATTATTTAAAAAGATCTCACCAAATAACCCTGATCATGACACCTGACACCAGGCAACATATGAATTTATCAATCAACAAATGGTTTCTATGTGAAAATTAGTCCTGATGTTTAAACGGCTTCATTTTGAAATGTTTTGAAGATGTCAAAAGACATTGTAAAACCACCCTAAACTACACAACCTCAGCTATGCTATTTAGCTTCTGTCAAAGTCATGTCATGTGAAGTACAACGTTTTTGAGGACTTTGGGTCGCGAATTGTCAATGTACAAAGCGCCACTCACCTTATTCCCTGTCAGAGCAATAGGAAGAGTAGAAATACTCGCTGTGTTTGTTTGTCGAAACATACATGTTGTAAGACATTCAGTGACCACTCGGCCCCTGAGCGCAGCCATCTTGGATCGAACGAACGCATTGTACGGTGAGCGCAAAGGGACAACGCGTTTCAGCTCCTCCCTCTTTGAATCAAAACCGCACACCTAAATGCATTCTAGGCAGACTAAAAGAGGAACTGATCTAGCTGATGAACTACAGGGGAGATCTTTTTCGCTCCTGTACACAGGAAACATAGGAACATTTGTTTAACAGAGGAAAAATATATAACTACATCTTAAACGTTAAAAATGACGGAAGATGTGGATAACTGGGAGGAAGATTTGGAAGAGGACGCCGTGATATCACTTGTCATCAAAAACTTAAGTAGGCTAATCTGACTTTTTAAATTTTTTTCCCCATTTTATAATGATAACAATTAAATAAAATGAAAGATAAGATCATTTGATTAAATGAAATAATATAAAGTAAAAAAAAAAATATCATGACAGAAAAACTGAAAGTGAAACGGACCAGCATGCAGCATTTATTTTAAAAGGACGTTTAAGGGGAAACAACAAAACAGAAAAATATGTTTATTGTTTTTGAAATCCAGATATACAGAAACAACATTTTTCCGAACTACATCCATTAGCTAAAAGAGTGGACTCTGATAAGTTGTCCACATCAGCCTTCCGACAGAAAGGTATGATTTCAACATTTACTTTATGTATACTTTCATGTATAACTTATGTATAACTTTTTAACTAAATTATTTTGTTATCAGTCGCATTGCCATGTGGTCATCAAATGCCAGCAGACTATGTTGTGGCTTGGTTCAAGTATTATCTTAAACAGGTTAGTACCTATGGCAATGTTTAAATTGTTTATTTACTTACACCCATGCTACCATTTTATGTTCAACTGTTTATTGTCTTTTAGAAAAATACCGATTTTTTCTGCCCTGGCTTTAATGACGTTAAGAGGAAAACCTGTGGCGCAAAACTCTCTTATCAGGAAATCTGTCAGCGGATACCACTGACAGACAAACAACGGGAATTCTTAGAGGAGAACCTCGCTGCACTTGTTGCTAGGAGGCTGTTTGACTTCAAAACTGTAAGATTATTTCATTTGTCTGCTGTTTGCATGCAGTAGCACCTCAATGCAGCACATGAGATCCACGGGGAGGAGTCAAGGGGTGGAGATGGGTGGGATAGGGTTGGGTTTAGGGATCGGGGGCGGAGTTGGGAAGGTTTAGGACCGGTATATGTAAGGTGGGAGGAGTTGGATCTGGATCCAACTCCTCCCAGTGGATTTCATGTTATGGCTTCTTAAAGGGATAGTTTACCAAAAATTAAAATCAGCCCATGTTTTACTCTCAAGACATACATAGGTGTATATGACATTCTTCTTTCAGATGAATACAATTCAGAATGATATTAAAAAATGTCCTGGCTCTTTCAAGCTTAATAATGGCAGTGAATAGAGCATCACAGTCCCGCCCACAGCCCGAGAGAGCGCTGGTGTCGGAAGTAAATTTCCCATTAATTTCTCCCATTGACATTTTGTAAAATTTTCCTCGATTTACTGAAGCTCACATGTAAAACGCATTTGCAGCTGCACATGCTAAAACATTGAGCATCTGGCTCGCTCATAGGCCTGTGTTGCGGCAACTGCACATCCAATGGCGCTGGGGCGTCTCTGCGGTGCGAAATTTTGTGGGGTTTCAGACACGATACACGACTTCTACCAATCAGATGCATTACTGTGGGATTGTTCAGGTTTGTGGGTAATGAAGTACTTATCCAATACATCGCAAATTAAAGGCATTTATCTTAAAACAAGGTTAGTGTAGTATAGTAGTATGGTATAGTAAGTATAGTTAGCATTCTTGGTGTGAACAGGCCTTTACACCAGGGGTTTTCACGATAGGGTCCGCAAGGAAGTGTTTTAAGGGGTTTGTGGAAAATTTCAGAGAAAATCTGTGTAAAAAATTACGATATAATAAATAATAATAATAAAAAAACGAAATAAAAGTAATAAATTCATAAATGGGGGGGGGGGGGCAACTTGTGTTACACAAGTGTAATGTGTGTGCAACTTGGATGGGTTTAATTCAGAGGACAAATTCAGAGTATGTCACTTTCACTTTCATATAGGCTAATACTAATAGTACAGAAATATAAAACGCAATGTAATGTAATCAACACATTTCTAATATTGGATTGAAAACCCTGACTTGGCAACAGTTCAAATGCATCTGTTAATCATTACTGCAGTGTCCAGGATGTCGGTCTTATGTGGAAAGACGAGATCGAAGTAACCTGTGCGTAAACTGCACTATCTGCACGGCCAACATGAAACGGACTTACTACTTCTGCTGGAACTGCCGGAGGGAGTGGAAGGGGCCGGCCAATAATGCTGTGCGGTGTGACAATAATGGCTGTGGACAGAGAGCGGTAAATAAAATCAGAATTTGACCACAGAAATGATTTTATTTGATCTAATATTAATATTTTTTTGCATTTGAACAGAGAACTTCAGATCCTCTTAAGCCATGCAAACCCGAGATGAAAAAGGAATTGCTTAGAAAAGAGGGAGAAGATGTAAGTGCTCGAATAATACTAAATATATGTATATAATTGAACACACACAGTATGGTGGTAATAGTCTTGAGGATGTGGGAATATACTCTATATTTTTGTATTTTTTTTATACTTGTGCAGTATATTATGTGCAAATAAAGAAAACATGTTTGTGAATTCTTCTTCCTCTTCTTTGTCAAGATTTACCCAATGAAAGACAAATCCCCTGACAGAAAACGTCTGGCTTTGCTCATCAACAATGTCGAGTTTGAACACATAAATGACAGGATCGGGGCAGACAAGGATGAACGGAGAATGGAGAGGCTGCTGGAGGGTCTGGGTTACACTGTGGTGACTCTCAGAGACCTCAGTGCACTGGTGCGTATAAGTGTATTTAAGCCAAATAAAAACACTTGTTTACTCTACTTGAGCCAAGAACCAAAATTTGTGGCATTTTTAAAGAATGTTAAAGGTGTAGTTCACCCAAAAATGTTAATTCTGTCATTAATTACGCACCCTCATGTCACAAGAACCAATGAGGTTTTTGTGGTTTCATCTAAAAGGTGTTAATTTGTGTTTCGAATATGAATGAAAGTCTTACAGATTTGGAATGACATGAGGGTGAGTAATTACTGACAGAATTTTTTTTGTTTTTGGATGAACTATCCCTTTAAAGGGTTAGTTCACCCAAAAATGAAAATTCTGCCCCCTTCGTTCAACTTCGGAACACAAATTAAGATATTTAAGATATTAAGATCGCTCCTGCATACTAGTCCATAGGCTTCTTGAGGGAATGACTCTTGCTGGCATCGAAAAGTCATTAAAGACATCGTTAAAATAGTCCAAGTGACTACAGGGGCTCAATCTTAAGTTTATCAAACGACGAGAACACTTTTTGTGCGCAAAAACAACAAAAATAACGACTTTATTTCAACTATTCGTTTATTTCTCCCTCTGCCTCGAGTCAGGTTACTAGTTTAATAGCGTAAGCTTCTGTTATTGTACGTCACACGCATCACACACATGACCAGCGTTGGCCAATAGTGAGCCTTCGTGTGACATAGCTCTCCGCAATCACACTACGTTAGCTGACTACAGGCCCATAGAGAAGGTAAAGTCGTTATTTTTGTTTGTTTTTGCGCACAAAAAGTGTTCTCGTCGTTTGATAAACTTAAGATTGAGCCCCTGTAGTCACTTGGACTATTTTAACGATGTCTTTGATGACTTTTCGATGCCAGCAAGTGTCATTCCCTCAAGAAGCCAATGGACTAGTATGCAGGAGCGATCTTAATATCTTAAATATCTTAATTTGTGTTCCGAAGATGAACGAAGGTCTTACGGGGTTGAAACAACATGAGGGTGAGTAAATACTGACAGAATTTTCATTTTTGGATGAACTACCCCTTTAATAATATTGATGGTCTGTTGTTCAGGGCATGCTTGCTGCCATGCGAGACTTTGCCCAGCGCGAGGAACATGTCCAGTCGGATAGCTGCTTTGTGGTGTTGATGTCACATGGAGATGCCAGTGGAATCTGTGGAGTATTTGATTCCCTCAGCAGTGATGATGAAGAGGACATTTTCCAAATAGATGACGTTTTTAATAGCTTGAACACTCCAAACTGTGCTGGATTGAGGGACAAGCCAAAAATTATCCTCATCCAGGCGTGTAGGGGTGGTGAGTTACAAAACATTACAAAATAAATATCAAAATGTCAAAATATTTGATTGGTCAGAGACCCATCCAGTTCTTCTGAGCAATGATATAGACACATGTTTTGACAAATGTTTCCCTTACGTTATAGATAGAGAAGGCAGTGTAGATGTCACGGATGGTGGGCCTAGAGACAGGAGAGGAAAAGAGCACCGTGAAAAAGACTTCTGCTGCCTGAGGTCCTGTACTCCAGGTAAATAATATTAAAGATCCCTTGTTCTGAAAATTAAGCTTTTAATGTTGTGTATGTCTGTCTACTTTTGAATAATTGTTTTTGGTGATTAAAGATGAGTTTTATGGGATAAAATTATTTACTTCAGGGGGACTTTAAAGATGTGTTCAAATTATGTGTTATTTGTTTTGCAAGCAGTGAGGATCAGTCACACAATAAATGTCACAATTTGTATCTTTTTATACAGACACGGTGTCCTATAGAAACGAAGAGACAGGCTCACACTTCTTCAAAGACATTGTGGAAATATTTAATGAGCACGCCTGCCAGGACCACATCGAGGAGCTCTTCAGAAAGGCAAAGTCACGTTCTTTATCAAGACAAACATCAAATCTGTAGACATTAATGGTGATCTGTGGTTTTTCAATAGTTGTGGATGTTTACTTCCTTTTATAATTTTGTGTGTCAGTTCGTATTTCTTTATCCAGTCGAATTCAAAAAGGCCTAGAAAAAACATTTTAGGTTATAATGTGTGGTTAGTTGTATTTTAATAATTGTTTTATTTTTATTTTTGAAACAGGTCATCAAGAAGTTTAAGGAGAAACATCCACATCAGATGCCATGCAAAGAAAGAACAACATTATCTAAAAAAATCTACCTCTTCCCAGGGTTGTAAAACACAGCACTGCTTTTCTTTTTATTTTAGAAACATGATGTGCGCATCTTTGTCATATTTGGAGAAAACATGGAATTAATCACATTTAAATCAGTTTGCATGTTAATTAAATTCTTGAATATGATAAACAGATTTAGCTTGCTGCTCTAGCATTAAAGTACCCCCACTCCCACAGAAAAACTATAAATACATTCTTCTATTTTACTTGAATATATCTATTTATTTTTCTTTCTTCAGTTTTCTTGAAAAAGGGGGAAGCTGATACTTGAAATATTATGTGTTAAATTTAAAATATGTCCTTCAGGAAAAGTACTGTATTGTGCACAAACTGTATTTACCAAATTTTATTTCATTGTTCATTTTAAGTGACCCCAGTATCTCTCAAATAAAGCATCAGATGCACTTGAATTAAGGCTTTGTCTCAACTCACAAAAATTAGCTGGTTTTATAGTCTTTAGTAGTACAGCAATATGTTATGGAATGACTGAATACAGCTACAGTGTTTATGAAGAAATACTGCATAGGCAAACTATATTGCACAGTAGGAGATGTGAAATAATTTGTCCACAGCAAAAGCTTTTACGTTTCTCTAAATAAAATAAGTGATTCATTGAACCTACTTTAACAGTGTTGGTTTAAATAAACTGTCCTTAAATAAAAAAAGTTGAATAATTAACTTTATAACTTTCAATCCAATAATTAAACATATCAGGTCAAAAAACATGATAACGTCTTTCAATATTTTGGACGGTGAAGTTAGACACCTCAAATGCAAATATATGCAAATTGCTGCCATTTCATTCGCTGCAGCCGCAAGGATTAGTTCAAGTCGGGGATCGAAGTGTCTACAGATTGAGATTGAATGTGATTCAACCAACGACCAGCAAATGCTCTAGATTTAACCGCCGAACCTCGATATATTTCATTGGATTACTTTCCGACGATTAAGCAACTGAATCAATCATTGAGTGTAAGTAAAACAGAGATGTATTTGATATGACTTGTCACAGAAAAAGTTACATGGAGGTATAAATATTTCCATTGCTTCGAATTGTGAAGACATTAATGGGCTTTCGAACGATTTACACAAAGACATCTTGATGAATGTTGAACTTTATATGTATTTATAGTATCTGTGTCACAATATGTTAGGCTACATAATATTTACCAATGTAACCATAGGATACAAACCTGAAAATCAGGATTGGCTAAGGCACACCCAAACACCCAAAGACTCGCTATCACTACAGGTAGATGACTTTATGATGATTTCAATTTAAACACTATGAATTACAATTAATAAATAATTAATTTAACGATGCAAAACGATCTTAAACGCTGACCAATGAGATCATGTAACTAAGTACAAGACACATTACATTTTGTTACATTTATGGGGGGGGGGGAAGGATTTACCATAAAAAATTGATCAAATCTATATTTTACAGTTCCTATAAAATGTCATAAAATCGTGTAATACTAATATACTAACCTGTTTGAGATATTAAAATATAAGAAAAATACTTTTTTATTATTTAATATGTCTATGGTAAGGACATTTTACCAATTAACAGGTTTTTACTGTCACATTGTTCCATTCTTTAAGTAATTTTAGAAGTGTACAGTGAAATTCTTGAGCTTACAAAAATTTCTAACTTGTGAAATCTGTTTTTAAAGTTTCTAGTTGTCTGCTAAACTAATTCACTGTGTATATCTGTGTTTGTGTATGATCTTAGCAGTAAAGTCATGGCTTCCCCCAGCAGTTTGTCTGAACGAGTCACATGTTCAATTTGTCTGGATGTGTTCACTGACCCTGTAACTACTTCCTGTGGACACAACTTCTGTATGACCTGCATCACAAGCCACAGAGACCGAAGTACAAGCTCAATGTGTCCACTGTGTGGGACGGCATTGGACTCGAAACAAGATTTTAACATAAACAGAACGATTAGAGACATCGCAGAGGACATCAAAAGAAAAAGAGTCCAGAAGAAGCCTGAAGTGTCCTGCGATAGCTGTCCAAAGAAGAAAAGGCGGATTGCTGTTAAGTCATGCTTACACTGTGGTACTTCTTTCTGCAAGACTCACTTGGAGCCCCATGAAACTGCAGGAAAACTGATGAAACACAAACTAATTAACCCCGTGAAGAATCTCGATGAATACATTTGCAAGAATCATGATAGACCTCTGGAACATTACTGTAGAGATGATCAGACAGCAGTCTGTCAATTCTGCACCGAGAGTGACCACAAGAATCATAATACTGTCTCTTTGGAGGAGGAGAGTTTGGTAATGCAAACTTTGAAAATATACTAGAGCCCGACCGATAAAGGATTTTGAAGGCCGATACCGATACAAATATTTTTGGGTTTTAAAATCCGATATTCCGATATATCGGCCGATATTTTTTTTAATTTAATATTGTTGGATTTCACACACGTGTAAAAGATAAGCTAACTTTTCTGCACAAGATACTTTGATAGTTTTTCTCTATGTCTAAATGTTCACTCCTCGCAAGTATAACTTACATTTTACAATGCAGGGACTGTAACTAGAGATATGCTAGCTATAAATACAGTAATAATTACTTTATTTAGGCAGAAAAAGTTAATTGTGGTTTCCAAGCTCATTAATGTTAACGTGAGCGGTCTTCCACTGTTGATATTGGCATTAGCCTGCTTTGTGGTTAGCTAGTCTATGATTTAGCAATAGATAACATCATATTGCAAGTTGTAAAACATACATTTTCAATATAACTGGCCAAGGAGAGATGATTGAAGCGTGTTTCGTCCGTTTTTATTTTCTTTTTTAAATATTCAGTAATCGGCCATTATAACTGCCGATACCGATATTGGCCGATATATCGGTCTGGCTCTAAAATATACAGAATCATTTCCAACATTAGAAACATTACCAACTGATGAAAGGGCTACTACAACCTACATTACTTTATTTTCACAGAAATTGCTGATGAATAAAAAGATAGCGGTGCAGCAGAAAATTAAGGACAAGTTGCAGAAAATTAAGGAAATTCAACATTCAACAAGGTTTAACAAAGTAAGTGGCATTGCCCTCAAGCAGATTTTATTTCTGTACTCCCTTCTAAATTGTTTGAGTGTCCTCAAGATCGTTTAGTTTTATTTGGTGCTTTAAAAATGTATGATGATTGAAAAATGTGATGATTTTTCAATTCCTAAAATTCAAAACAGCGAGCCAAAGAGAGGGAGATCGAAGAGAACATCAAGTTTTTCAAGGATATCTTTGAGAAAAACAATGCGGAGCTACTTGAGCTCACGGAGGAAAAGCATAAAGAAACGGAAAGGCGAGGCGAGGAGCTCATCAGAGAGCTAGAAGAAGAGATCAAGGAGCTAAAGAGAAGACAAACTGAACTGGAGCAGCTCTCAAATCATATGGATTTCACACAAGTCAGTCTTTCTTATCAAACCACCATGGTAAGAAATGAAGCCACATGTACACTCGACTCAAGGGCGTTTTTTCCCCTCTACCTGTTCTAGATTATTAACCTCCTCCTGCACAACACCATAAATACCAAGTGCTCAAGCAACATAAGCATCAGCGCAAATGAACATGGCCGTATTCTGAGGACGACAATATCACGGCTTCAGAGCGTCCTGGAAGAGAAAATGAGAGAAACTGGTAAATATTTACCAATGTAACCAAACATATTTACACCATCATACACTCTTTAATCTGACAGAAATGCATATTTCGTTCTTCCCACTGTAGTTGGCAGAGAGCTGCGGAGTATACAACGTTATGCAGGTATGGAAAATCTGATTACTAAAAGTTACATTTTATTACAGCAAAAATAAACTCTAAAGGTCAGATTTACTAACAGCTAGCATCAACACGAACCATCTTTTGCTGTTAAAAAAAATACTGTTTTCAGCTCTGAAACTTACAGGAAATTCTTATAATATGATGATCTCTTAGATGTCAAAAACTCAAGGAAAATTTGATTTCTCAGTTCATCGCCCCTTTAAAATTTTTGGGTGAACTAACACTTGAAATAATTGCATAAAACTCAGTTTTATGGCTTTTTTAGTGACAGTTTGTTTATGAGCTGATTAATACAATTGAAATAAAAAAACGAATGAAACCTAAATCCCTAAACAAATCCCTAAATGAAACTCCTAAAATAAGTCTTAGTAAACCAAATGTAAAATTGACTATTGCAAAAGAAAGATAATACTGATGTGATGTGTGATATAACACCATATAAAGTTTTATGTGAATGAACGTGAATTATACTTACTTGGCCAAAAATGTATATTAACCCTTATATATATCTTATTAGTGGATGTGACGCTTGACCCTGACACAGCTCATCCCGAACTCATGTTGTCTGACAGTGGGAAAGAGGTCTGGAATACAGGCAAGTCACAGAAGATTCCCGACACCCCAAAAAGGTTTGACCATTGCTCGTGTGTCTTAGGAACGAAAGGGTTCTCCTCACAGAAATTTTATTTTGAAGTTCAAGTCAGCGGGAAGACGGAGTGGGATTTAGGAGTGGCAAAAGAATCCATAGATAGAAAAGGGGAAATTGGGCTCAACCCTGAACATGGATATTGGACTGTATGGCTGAGGAACAGGGATGAGTATGCAGCGAACGATCGGTCCGCTGTCCCTCTCACCTTGAAAGAGAAGCCAATGAAAGTGGGAGTTTTTGTGGATTTTCAAGAGGGTCTGGTCTCTTTTTATGATGTTGAAGCCAGGTATCATATATATTCTTTCACAGGACAGTCTTTGCCTGAAAAGCTCTATCCATATTTCAGTCCTGGAGAATACGAAAAAGGGCAGAACTCACCTCCTCTGATCATTACACCTGTTGACTCAATTGAATAAATCAACTTTTAAAGGAAATATTCAACTTTATTATTATAAGTCTTTTTGTATATAACACCTTCAGTCCTAAATGATGTTCAATACAAGTATGACCATTCTTTATTTCTACTCTAAATGCAACCATGAATGATCATTAATCAAAATAATCAATTAATTAAAATGTATTTCTAATGTTCATTTTATTTTGAACATATATTCTGATTCTCACTACATATTTAATGCATTTTTTCCAATGCTTTTATCCAAAGTGACTCACAAATGAGGAATGGATACAAATAAAATGTTTTATTTGCTTCGTTTGCTTTTTTCTAATCCAACTTAACATTTTCAACATGTGCTTTATAATGTTATAAATTGTGATATATTCATTTTTATATCAGAATTCATATTCAATGTATAAGAAACACCATGAAAAATTGTAATCATTTATCAATATGTAAGTAACAAAATCACCAAAAGTAGTAGTTAAAAATCAGATCTGAAACATTCTGAACATTCAATGTTTCACCACATTTCAAGCATTAGTTTTCTCATTATTCACCTTTTTTTGGTCTTCTTCTTAAGACTTCTTCTTCTTCTTAAACACTTCAATTGCGTTTGTGTAATTGCAGTTGCTTCCTTTGATGTCACCATCTCGCTGAGTTTTTCAAGCAGTTCTGAGGTGTACTTGTGACCATCAGTGATGTCAACATGGTACCTGTTCTGACAACAACGAACCACTTTAAAGAGCTTTTTGCAGTACGAAATAAACCTGTCAATGCGTTGCCCAAGGTTTTTAAGCTCTCTGCCATGTTTGAAGATAATCATCATACGTTTTGTGGTTCTTGGATCTAGTCTTTTTTTGAAGGTGTGGAAAAGACCTTGTTGTTGCTCACTGAATTTAGATACTGGTGTTACCCAGAGAATTACATTGGGGCCAGGGTCAGATAACTTAACACACTTCTTCATTTCCTTGTTCCAAAAGAGGGAAAAGAGATTAGGAGTGTCCACTACAGTGACATTTTCCACTGTCTTTACCATGGACTCTTTCGTCACAGTCTCCGATCCACTTTTGCTAGGAAAGTGGTTTCCACCAAGGATGATGTTGCCAACTGTACTTTTCCCAGCTACCGTTTCGATGCTGTCTGGGTTCGACGCTGCCATTTCGTTGCTGTCTGGGTTCAACGATGCCGTTTCGATGCTCTCTGGGATCAATGCTGCTGTTTTGATGCTGTCAGGGTTCGACGCTGCCGTTACGATGCTGTCTGGGTTCAACGCTGCCGTTTCGATGCTGTCTGGGTTCAACGCTGCCGTTTCGATGCTGTCAGGGTTCAACGCTGCCGTTTCGATGCTGTCTGGGTTCAACGCTGCCGTTTCGATGCTGTCTGGGTTCAACGCTGCCGTTTCGATGCTGTCTGGGTTCAACGCTGCCGTTTCGATGCTGTCTGGGTTCATCGCTGCCGTTTTGATGCTGTCTGGGTTCAACGCTGCCATTTCGATGCTGTCATGGTTCAACGCTGGCGTTTTGATGCTGTCTGAGTTCAACGCTGCCGTTTCGATGCTGTCTGGGTTCAACGCTGCCGTTTCGATGCTGTCATGGTTCAACGCTGCCGTTTTGATGCTGTCTGGGTTCAACGCTGCCGTTTCGATGCTGTCTGGGTTCAACGCTGCTGTTTCGATGCTGTCTGGGTTCAACGCTGCTGTTTCGATGCTGTCTGGGTTCAACGCTGCCGTTTCGATGCTGTCATGGTTCAACGCTGCTGTTTCGATGCTGTCTGGGTTCAACGCTGCCGTTTCGATGCTGTCTGGGTTCAACGCTGCTGTTTCGATGCTGTCTGGGTTCAACGCTGCTGTTTCGATGCTGCCAGGGTTCAACGCTGCTGTTTCGATGCTGTCTGGGTTCAACACTGACGTTTTGATGCTGTCATGGTTCAACGCTGCAGTTTCGATGCTGTTTGGGATCAATGCTGCAGTTTCGATGCTGTCATGGTTCAACGCTGCTATTTTGATGCTGTCATGGTTCAACGCTGCCGTTTCGATGCTGTCTGGGTTCAATGCTGCCATTTCGATGCTCTCTGGAACCAATGCTGCTGTTTTGATGCTGCCTGGGTTCAACGCTGCAGTTTCGATGCTCTCTGGGATCAATGCTGCTGTTTTGATGCTGTCTGGGTTCAACGCTGCCGTTTCGATGCTGTCTGGGTTCAACGCTGCCGTTTCGATGCTCTCTGGGATGAATGCTGCTGTTTTGATGCTGTCTGGGATCAACGCTGCCGTTTCGATGCTGCCAGGGTTCAACGCTACCGTTTTGATGCTGTCTGGGTTCAACGCTGCCGTTTCGATGCTCTCTGGGATCAATGCTGCTTTGATGCTGTCATGGTTCAACGCTGCCGTTTTGATGTTGTCTGGGTTCAACGATGCCGTTTCGATGCTGCCAGGTTTTAATGCTGCCGTTTTGATGCTGCCAGGGTTCAATGCTGTCATTTCGATGCTGCCAGGGTCCAACACTGCCATTTCGATCCTGGTAGGGTCCAACGCTGCCGTTTTGATGCTGCCAGAGTTCAACGCTGCCGTTTCGATGCTGCCAGGGTTCAACGCTGCCGTTTCGATGCTCTCTGGGATCAATGCTGCTGTTTTGATGCTGTCATGGTTCAACGCTGCAGTTTTGATGCTGTCTGGGTTCAACACTGCCATTTGGATGCCCTCTGGGATCAACGCTGCCGTTTCGATGCTGCCAGGGTTCAACGCTGCCGTTTCGATGCTCTCTGGGATCAATGCTGCAGTTTCGATGCTCTCTGGGATCAATGCTGCCGTTTCGATGCTCTCTGGGATCAATGCTGCAGTTTCGATGCTGTCTGCGTTCAACACTGCCGTTTCAATGCTGCCAGGGTTCAACACTGCCGTTTTGATGCTGTCTGGGTTCAACACTGCCGTTTTGATGCTGTCTGGGTTCAACACTGCTGTTTTGAACAATAAATAAACAAATATTTTAAATATTACTTTTCCTTTTAAAGTTGGAGTAAGAGTATGTCACTTCAACTTACATTTTCTGTACATCAGCATGTATGGTAGGCTTGAACTGTCAAAAAAAGGAAATGCTTTTTTGCTTAGAAAATACCTTTTTTTTTACATTCTTCCCATGAGAGAGAACAACACTTACTTTTCCAGTGATGCTTCTGAAGTCTGTAAGATAACAATATTAAACAATAAAATGAACAGTCTTGAGTCATATCAATTTGTTAATGAAATAATGCTAATCAAACAAACAAATGTACCTGTGTTACATTGTAGTCATCAAAACAGTACCATGTCCCATTTTCAAAAGATCTGATGATTGTATTGTAGTGTCCACTACTGTATCCACCCACATGATTTATAACGGCATACAGATCATATTTAGGCCAACTATCCTGCAGAGAAAGATGTTAACAATGTTCAGACAATTTTATACTGCTTTTAAATAGCATTTTGTTTTTGGTATGATTGAATGATGAAACCTCTTTGGGTAGACTTAGAGGTACATCCAGGCGACATTCATTCTTCTTGTATCTCATCTGTATGTAATCAAAGTCAAACCTCTTCAGATGCAGAGTGAGAACAGTAGGATATTCATCTATTTTACTCCACTGCAGAAAGAATAAGAAAATTGCCAAGAAGAATGAAAAAGGCATATAAGCACAAGTTGGAAACTCAAAAATGTTTCACTATAATTGATTCAGTAATCATGGGTTGATCATCTTGAGTGATGTGGAAAAATCTCACATTTTCATTTACTCACAGTTTCTGTTTCTGTTTTCTGGTCACATATTTCACAATACATCCAGTCATCCTCTTCTAGTTTTGAATGTTCAAAGAAGGTCTTCAGGCTTTTCCCCTATGGGGTCAAAAAATAAAACATGCAGTTTTAGAGGGAAGCTACTGTCTCCCAAGAACAAAAAAAAAAAATAAAAATTTGGCTAACATTAACTTTGCATATGATAGTCTTCATACCATATCATACTTATCATTTCCAGCATCAATAGACAGCAGTATTGAGATGAACGTGCTGGTTTCTGTGGTGTCATTGCCACATTGGCCACATTTTGTTATGTTGTTGATTTTCCCTTCAAAGACCTGGAACAAATGCACTGTGCTTTCATATAGGCTGATTCTTAATTGCATCACCGTTAATGATCAATGATTGGGACCCCCTCGAAAATGAGATGGTTCATCTCAAGGGGCTATCCTTGAAACAAATAAAATAATAATAATAATAAAGAGACTTATTTACAGTCAATTGGCTTTATGTCCATCTGCACTACTTCCTGAACTTCAGCCAGCTCCTTGTTTCCTGTCTGCCATTATTGGGCAAACTTGATTAATTCAGGTGTGTCTGATTATTGTTGCCATGACTACTGAGGTCAGGCACACCTGAATTAATCAATTTGTCCAATAATGGCTGACAGGAAACAAGGAGCTGGCTGAAGTTCAGGAAGTAGTGCAGCTGGGCATAAAGCCAATTGTTTCCCTCTCACCGAAACAGACTTATGTTTATATGTGACATACCTTAGAGGCTTGTGTCCCCACTGCTTTTAAAATCTTCCTATAATACTCCACTGCATCTTGTTGCTCATAAACTTCAAGGTATAAAAGAGGAATTATGAAAACAATGTTCTAGACTTTATGTAAATATGTGACCCTGGACCACAAACATGGGTCACAAATTTTTCAGATTTATACTTCATCTGTAAGCTGAAATATATATATATATTTATGTGTGTGTATATAGTGTAAGGCTATGTACTTTATACAGGTACATAACATATACAGCCTTACATTTAGCCTACACAGTATATATATATATATATATATATATATATATATATATATATATATATATATATATAGTATATTGAACTGTAAGTTAAAGGAACCTACCATTTCTAATTCCAAGACTCCTGGTTATTCCTTCAGTTGTGGCTGCATTTTCTGACAGCTTTGTAAACAGCTTCTGAAGTTGTAGCAAGAGATTTTCCTCACCACAATCTCCAGGAGCTTGACTAAATTGATATTAAAAAATAAAGAAAAAAGCAATAGAATAAAATAAATTAATAGCCTATCCTAAATTCCGGTAATTCTATGTAGATGCAATAATCAAATTCATTATTTTACCGCCCCACTGCCTCTCTGAACTCTGGGGTCATGAACAGAGACTGCAATACTGCATTTAAGTAGCAAGTGGCGCCTTGATTTATCAGGCCATTGTATTGGACTTCGTTCCTGAATGCAAAAGTAATACACGTAAATATTTCATGGGTTCTATGTATTCAGTGTCTTCAAATAAGACAACAGAACGTCATAAATGTGTTTTCACATCTATTTAGCCTACAGTAGCTAACAAGCGCACCACGCAAATGAACAAAAAGTTTAGGCTTGATGTTTCGATAGGCTACTTTACATATTGATTTTTATCGCCTATGTTGTGACTGAGGTTTTTCGAAGTCGACCCACCTGTCATGAGATCCATGTGAACGCTTCTGTGCTAAATGCGTGTCGGGCTTCTTCATGCTGTTTGTGGACATTTTAATCTGGCACATAGGCTAGGAGACTGTAAACGTAATCAAACCATAGACTGTAAAAAAATCAAACCGGGTGTGCACCTTGTCTGTTGGTCAATCTGTGAATGATTTAACGTAACTCATAACAAGGCTATTCATCACAAATAAACTGAACTGAAGTTATCCCACATATGAATGAAACTGTAATCAGAATTTACCTTATTGAAACTCTTCTTCTTGAACAAGAAGGGAATTTAGAGGAAAAAGCACAGTGTAGCTATTCCCGATTACACAAAATATTAACATCCGCGTCCAAATTCGCCAGGTACACTGTAAAAACTAATCTATAGAATTTACCCAAAAAATGTGAGGTAACAATTTGCATCGACTTTGGTGGGGTACATTTAATCCATATTAGTGAGTATAAACTATCTGAAGTAAAAAGCTATTAAATACTTGCATAAATTGGGTAACAATTACCTCCATTTATCAACAGCTACTTACTCGTTAAAATTAGGTAAAAATTATCTATTCAAATCAAAGCTAATTACTTATTCAGAGAAGGTAAAATGTACCCCCCACAATAAAGACATTCACATGGTTCATCAGATCAATGTTTTTAATCCAAAAATTCATATGAAACACTCAAAATACAGTGCAGCACAATAACTTTACACAGCATTTCAAGTAATGAACATGTTAACTCACTGGACTATCAAATGTTGTTTCAATAATGTTGGATAATAAAACATTGCTGTTTTAGGAGGAGGAGAGAGTAGAAAATGAAACTAGAAGCGAGGAGATCAGAGCAGTACTGGAAGAAGTCCAATCACATTTTGTTGTATCTAAACTCTGTGATTCCATTACTTGGTTTCCCTCGATCACAATAGACAAATCTGGATCCTCCTCAGCCATGACATTGTGCTTCACAATCACCTTCATGTTTTTGTCTGTGTAGTCCTCACATTCCTACATGTAAAAAACAAACAAAAAGCATGCACATTTTTATTTAATGTAAGATGCTGTTTCAATATATTTCAGTTTATCTAAAAGGAGAGCAGAGGGGGAGTGGAAGGCAAAAGGAGAAGGTGGATACAAGAAGAGAGGAGGATCCTTTGAGTTAATCAAAAATCTGTTATGAATATGACATACCTGGTAGTAATGGAAAAGATCTTCTTGATTTTCACCAAGGTAGTCTTGTCTTTAATGAGGCAGCAGACAACAGCATCTCATGTTTCTCAATGTTCTGTGTCTGTAGGGAGATACAATTTAGTGATGTTAGAATGTTAGCGAAGTGGGGAGTGATTTACATATACTAAGACCGAATTACGGCCCTGCAACAGACTGGCGACCTATCCAGAATGAACACTGCCCCTTCACCTGATAAATGCTGGGTTGGCTCAAAAATCTTGTGACCCGAACGGACAAAGCAGTAAAGAAAATAGATGGATAAGACCGAATTCACACATTGATGTTAAAAGGTTTAAGTTGGTAAGGAGCTCAACTTTGCGCACAACAAATCAATTGTTTACAAATTACTTTAGTTTTAATTCACTCATATCAATAATTACATATTTGTGAAAAAATAAAATTACATACGTCATTTAAAGTGTCCAGCAGAGGACACATCTTGCAACCAGCTACTTCTCCTTTGGCGCGCATTAGCCGCAAAAGACCTCGTGAGTACTCATCAAGCTTCCGTGTGAATGTCTCCTCCAAGGAATATGTTGTGATGCGTCTAAACTCCTCCTTGATCTAGGAAGTTAAATGACCAAAATTTACATTTTAAATTAAAGACCAGCTCTCATAGTATTCACATGAATGTATACTAGTGGTAAGTAAAAATTACAAGAAATTCTCACCTGAGCTTCAGTGAATAATGCTGGCCACTTTAGAATAAACACACCCACAGAGGGGCTGAGGCTGACCACTTCAATTTCTTTGATCCGTTTTCACTTCTGTTGACACTGTAGGCTATCAACTGTAAATTAAAAAAAGAAACATTTCAGTAAATCCTATTAAAAAAAATCCTATTAAATCCTATTAAAAAAAAAAAACATAAATCTAACAGCTATATATGGCAGGTGCATTCTGAGGGTTAGGTAGCATGTTAGCTTAGCACACATCAATACACTACAATTTATGAGATTATAAAACCACGTTTTTGCTCCAAAATTACTTTATAATGCATGTCGATTGCTTTAAATAACCTTCTGTGATCTGACTTGGCTTCGGATAAAAAAACGGACATAAAATATTGTATTTTATAGTATTCTGGACTATCAAGATTATATCGATTAACATTAACTTACATTATAAATGTAATATATTATGAAGTTATCTGCATGGCTTGAAGAACACAAATAATGCGTCATATATCGTTGCAATCATGTTATCTGCAAGTATTCAGCGATCTTTGGAAACTTTGTTGTGGTTTCAGGTGTCACAGGTCATGTGGCTCTTCTTCGTGATATATTATGTAGTAGCGTTATAAATTATGTGCACACGACGCCCGCCGGCTGCCAGTGTGTATTGAAAACACACCCGAGGAGTATCCAGCGCTATGATTACATCGGCCCATTTTGGTGTATTCAATAAATATAATTCCTCTAACGTTATACAGAAATCTGACAGAAACCTATGATAATCAATAAATATTTCTCAGAATCTGCATATTTTTGAGCTGAAAGCACTTGTTTGGTCGAGCTCTGTCATGACGACGACAGAGGTATTTATGAATGGGAGCGGATGAATGACGCACATAATTCATATTAAAAACGCCATCGACTGTTTTTTATTGCATACTCCTGAAATTAATTAATATGGTCACTATAAGTTTCTCAGAAACAGTGGTCAAATACTGAAACCTGAGTCTTGCTTAATAATGTATAATTTGTCAAGGTAATCACATTAAATCTGATAGTAACTTTGAAATCTGTGCCCAACGGCCGACCGTCGGCTTGATGTGTTCCGCCATGGTGACGCCATCGACAGATTCAAACTTTAATTTCAAGTAATGACATGTTAAACAAACGAAAGCCCAATAAAAGCGAAGTGTAATGTCTCATAATTAAAAATATATGCACTCCTATGTTAATAGCTTACCTTCACTTCTGCTGTTCGATGGCAGCCAGAGAGAGGATCCAGCGTCGCCCACACTCACTCAAAAAGAAACCGCGGGCCTACGCATGCGCAATTTAAAGCAAAAAACTCACGTTTTGGGGGTATATTTTACTCCATTTTTCTATGTGATGATTCTTACTGTTGATGAATGGGTAGCATATGTAGAATTTACCCATTACTTTAGGATTCGTTGGCTGCCTGCAATAATCATGTACATTTTATATGGTTTCCACAGATTATATTTACCACTCGACAAAATCACTTTTTTCAGTGTAACTGATAAATTATAGTTTTACTTTCGATTTTGTTGCTGACGGCAGAAACTAAAGTAGACTTAGCATAAATTCAGACATAATTAGCCTATTCAAATCTTATCATTTTGTTTGTGGCATTCACATTTTATTACAACTAGGCTAGGCCTATATCATTTAATATGAAGAAAGTAAATGTGGTTTATCAATTTGACCACTTCAAGAATAATAATAAAAAACATAAAAAGTAGGCTAGTAATCACAAATCAGTCAGAGACTTTTCTTCATTGATAAAATACCTGAGACTGTTTCAAATAGCCTAATTGTTCTCCCATTATCCCGATATGTGACAGACAAATCCAATTAATTTACAATAGCATACAGATTCCACACACATAATAATAGTGATGATCAACAAAAGTCTCTGTGAGTCTGCCTAAGTTGATGATTCCGGCAGAGACTCAAATTCTTCTCATGAAACCTCCAGGTAAACGCAGGACCATGAAGAGGGTGGAGCGATCCTTAATTTGGTGGTCCAGAAACGTATCGTTGTCCTCTAGTTGTTTATCTGTGTACAGCAGTCTCAGGTTAGATGGATCATCCCCTGAGATAAAGAAACATTTACATAATGGTACATTTAATTTATTTAATCCATCATGAGCTGTCTAAAGTTAAACATACCAATCACAATTCTGAATAATAAGCATTTTATACATCTATAAAATCTAGATTTTAAATAGTTAAATAAAGAATAATTCGTTTATTCTCTTTTCTCAACATGAATGGATAGCTTAATAATTATTAGCTACTAGGCCTAACGTTGCCGACGTGGAAATCAAATTACCACTGGTTAGCCATGTGACCAGAAAACGGCCTAGCCTAGGCTACTTTCACAAACTTTTTAAGAAAGGCATATAGCATATTTAATTTTACTAGAGTTGAATACACAGCCTATGATTTATATTAGCTAATATTCAATATTACCTGCTTGACCGGGCAATTTTTCTAAAAGTTTCTTTTTGAACGCTAAAATCGTCATTTTGTTGAAATCTTCCTCTGACGTCGCAACATCAACGGTTTTTTTCTCCCCCTTTATTCCAACCACAATGATCTGGTAAATCTTTCCCATTTTAGATGAACACCTAAAGCAATTAGGCTACTGCAAAACTCCGTATACAATGTGGAAGTTTCACTTTCTGTTTTTATAAGGTGTTGACGCCCTGACAGAAAAAAAATATATAGCCTTACGCCTACTGTCATAAATAGGTAATGCGCAATAATAATCGGCGTTTCAAATAGGCTAAACGAAATATAATAACACCATCATTTTATTATTATCATGCTAGTAGCAAACCGTATTCTAAATAGGCCTATCAATGACAAGGCTGATCCATTTTAGTTATTAGGTGACTAAGGAAGTTAATTTTGTCGTTCAGATTTAGGCTATTCATTTGTTCTGTAACTTATATAGGCCTATTAAAAATAGGCCATAGATTAGCTATCCTCTTTGCAAAAAAAATAAATAATAATAATAATAAACAAACAAAAAAACAACACAAAAATAAAAAAACAAAAGAAAACAAAACAAAAAACACAGACATGCCTACTTTACAGGTAGACTATGGGCTATCTTATCGGCCCATAGGCAGTCGAGAAGCCACGTGACAAACTGGAAAAAGAATAAAACACTGTCAACATTAGTCTTTGGTTTCATTTCTAAACCGATTTGAACTGTTGGACTAAAAATGACGGAACAACAGCACGAAGAGAAACGCTACGATCCCAAAGACACAACGCTGAAGTTTGTAACGCGCAAGGATGATATAAGTATGTATTTACTACTGTTTATAAAAATTTATATTCGTTTTTATTTCTAAGGAGGCAGAGAAACTGAAAACAAGTGTGCTTTGTCTCAATCCCAACGGCTGTAAAAATAGATTCGACATTCGCTTTCATACCCAATTCTAACTCTCTGGTAATTTCCTTTTTTGAGCCCAAACAAACCCAAATATAGCACAAGGCTAATTTCAAGAAATAAATTATTAATACGCCCTATAAATCAATCTAACTATGACATTGTAATGTCAAACTAAAAGTAAAATGTTCAGAAAAATATCCCTTTTATGCACAATTACAATAGAATTAGCATTTCACATGTTTTATAATAATTTTGAAACTTTGATGCAAAAGGGCTACTGTAAATCCATTAAACTACTACAACACTATTTGGCCTCAATGTATCAAACCAACTGTAAATTACTCGGAGTCAGAATATTATTCTTCATGTTGCACAAGGCTTGCTTTTCAGAGTTTTTATTTTTTTTATTTTTAGGCCAGGCCTACTGGACCATTTTAATCCATAAAACTATTAATAATTAGCTTAACAGCTGCTTCTCTTACTGCAACATAATCTTGATGCGATACTTACTGAATACACAGCAATATGCTGCTTTTAAAATACAAAGAGTATTCTATGTGAAACTTGTCCAACAGTAGTAGTAGTAGTAGTACATATAATTAAATATTTAAAACAATAATTAAACACGCAACCATGAGGTCATGATGTGACGGATATAATAGCCTAGGCTATTATATCGTGTTTAATTATTTTTTAATTATTTAATTATGTGTATTTTGGCTCATAAATAAAAATAATACTAAAAAATTGAATGATGAATCAGTTGATTCACTCTTGAAATTAAGCCAAGCACACAGCCTGCACAAGCAATGGCCAAAGTTTTTCGCATACACAAGCTTGTATTGTCAATAGTACTGAATTTCCTTCTGATATTAGGCAGTTACTATGGCAACTGCATATGCATCCATTAAGTTAAACATAAAAATATTCAAAAACCTTTACACAAACCTTCAATTAACTTGTATATTCAGCCGGGGATGATGACCCTGAGACTCGTCGTGCTGAGATGTCATGTGGCCATGCTGTCACTCCACAGTCCTGACTCAGTGGTGTCGAAGTCTACTTGACCAGGTATTCACAATGAAGAATCAGTACTTGTTAACAGACACATACTTACAGTAATGTATAATTATTTCTGCTTTTCATTCTCAGGGTCAGCACAAGTTTTTGTGCCCTGCACTTAAAGATGGTACAGTGCAAAGATGCAATGCAGAATGGCCCTATGTGGAGGTGCGGAGGTTGGCTGTGCTGACACAAGAGGAACAGAGCCATTTTGAAGAGAGCATGGCTGTCCTGGCTGCAGCTGAGTACTGCGAACACAAAACAGTGAGCTACTGGTGCACACTGAGATGCATGTTTTCAAAAATAATTGCATCCTTGAATATTCACATATGTAAGGATGCAATTATTATTTTTTTGATTAAAGGTGACACATTATGCCCCTTTTCACAATATGTAATGAAAATCTGTGTCCCCAGAATGTGTCTGTGAAATTTCGGTTCAAAATACTCCCTAGATCTTTTATTAGCTTGTCAAATGTGCCACTTTTTGGTGTTTTTATGTTTGCCCCTTTAAATGCAAATGAGCTGCTGCTGCCCGTCCTGTTCAGAACAGGGCCACAAGCTTCGGAAATTACGGTGTTGTGTCAAATTTCGACCCCGTCAAACGTTTTCTGGGTTGCTAGATGCACCGGTGACCCGATTATTGCACTTAAACACAAAATCTCCCCTTTAAAATGTTACTTAGAATATATACATGCTTCTTTGCCCATTCCTTGATCTTTAACTTTATCCATTTACCTACAGTGTCCTGGCTGTCAAACATTTGTTGAGAGAGCAGACATTACCAACCTCTGTGCCATTTGCACAATCTGCACGGCTGAGATGGGTCGGACATATCAGTTCTGCTGGCAGTGTATGAGTGAGTGGAAAGGTCCAGGCCCTCGATCTGACCGCTGTGACAACCCTGGCTGCACCAATCCCGACATCGAAAAGCTGACAAAATGTCGTGATATTACACTACCTGAAGTTAATAATGTGAGTTGTCCCTCCATGCGGGCGTGCCCCACTTGTGGCAATCTTGTGGAGCACGACACCACAGGGTGCAAGAATATCATATGTAATCGCTGCAGGGTTGAATTCTGCTTCGTCTGCCTGAAAGTCACTCAAACGTGTTTGCAAACAAGCAGTTATTTCATTGGTTGTTCAGCTGGGGTCGCTCCACGGCAGACTTCCATTCCTACCTGGAATAGAAGCGAAAACAATTGAAGAAGCCATGCAAAATGACACGTTAAAGGCTATATTAAAATGTTCCATTCCCCGTGTGTAATAAATAAGCTGTGATTCTATGCAAAAATCGAATAGTAATCAAATGTAAGGTGAAGGCTTTTTGTGTAGATTACTGTCCCTTGCTCATGTTCTCTAAATAAAATGGAATGGAATAAAATGGATTGTGTTCATAATTGGTTGTGGCATAACTGCACTACTATATGATAAAAAAGTCAGTTAGCTGATGAATATTGTTCCATGGGATATTTAATCAGTACTAAAAAGAAAAGCAGAACAGTTGTTTTTTTGAAAGTTTAAAATGAAACAAAGATTATCGGAGAACATTTTACAAGAAAATACTATTTCAGTATTGTACTTTCAATTTCTTTGCCATTTCTTTGTGTATTTTACTTGTAGATTCTGAGTGAAAATTGTTGCTACACAAACTGTATGACAGAGATTTACTACTATCAACATTTACTAATTAAAATTAAATTTCACTTAATTGCCAAATCATTCGGTCAAAGAAACTGAGTGGAATGGAGTTATACTGGTTTTGGTTTCTGCTATACTGAAAGCAAAACTCTTTGCTGACATTTGAGACATTTTTCTTAAACTAATATTAAGACAGTGTTAATGTCAAATGTTAGACAGGTAGGTAAACAATTTAATTCTATGGCAAATGTTGAATGGAGTTTACTTAAGGTAAGCTGATGTAAGATGAGTGGTCAGCACGAACACAAATACTCTTATCTCGTTGAAATCTTGACAGATTTACAAACGGTTTGGTTTCTTACAAACGTTATTAACGTGGCTATAATTATTCTGGATGATTATTTATTTATACACTTATTATTCATAAGTATGCTGTGTCATAACTACATCTCTGACGTTTATAGTAAACCAAACCGTTTGAAAATCGGTAGAAATTTGAGCAAGTTATGGTTATTCAAATAGCACATGTACCATTAACACAATGTTACGAGTGAGCGAGCTGCCTGTGACAAGATGGCCGCCAGGTGTAGACGTCGTCGTCGACCTCCATTGGCCAGCAGCGTGGACGAGATCCAGACGTTACGCCGGAAGTGATCTTTCGCGCGTCTACGTCCCGCATTGTTTACACGGAGGTTTTGGAAGTTTTACCTTTCACTAAACATATTTAGATATATCGAAATCGTCTTCCATTGCGATTTCCCGTATATTTAAATATGTTTAGTGAAAGTTAAAATTTCCGGAATCTCCGTGTAAACAATGCGGGACGTAGACGCGCGAGAGAGATCACTTCTGGCGCAACGTCTGGAGACGGTTGGACGGCTGTTAACAAGAGGTAAAAACGATATAAATACTGTTCGTTTTCTCACACAAACCACTTGTTTCGTGTCTTAGGCCATCAGTGTGTACTTACATTTACGAGTCATTAAATCATGTTTAATTTGGACTTCTCTGTGCATGGTCTTTGAGGTGGACCGCTGGACCCCCAAAGACTGCATATGACTGACAGACAACACCGGTTTGCCCGAAAAAATGTCAAAATTGAAAATACTGTGGAAACAAAGACACCTACATCTTGGATGCCGTTGAGGTAAGCTAAAACACATCAAAAATTAATTTCAAAGTGAACTATCCCTTTAAAGCCCTATGAAAATATGAACTGGTTTTTCAGCACAGATGTAGTGCCACCAAAAGTTCAGATGCAATACAACTAAATGCAACAATTAAGTGTGCAAAACATAAACCGATAAAAACGGTACCTTCTAGGTTGCATGGTAATGTTGCTGATTATGGTACATCTCACACTGATGCGAGCTCTTTTACCAGTGGGGTAATCTGAGCTTTACGGGGACATGGTGAAGTCTTAAATCACAGGGGAACGAGAGAAGACCTTTGTACCCGTCTCTTTTAATATTACTGAAACAGGTCTTGAGACCTTTAAGACATCATCAGGTATTCCAGTAATCATTCTGAAAATCGTATATTTGTCATTATAATGCAGACATCACAATGTTATAGACATTTCAAACTAATGAAGCACATATTGACTTTTATAGTGATTGTGTTTATTTAGCTTGAGGCAATGTATTTCACTCTAAACAAGAAAAATGAATAAAATTTTACAACAAAATAATTGGACCCATCTGTTAACTTTGATGAAAAAAAAGGCTTAATAGGGCTATTCAGATGCAGAACTTTGACTGGACGTTGTCTGCTGAGACTTGAGCTTCTTGTAGTATTTCTGGAGGAGGGAGAGAAAGATGATAAAAGGTAACTATACATAAATATAAGCGTTCAGAAGTGACTTTAACAGTACTTAAAATAATATTTAATAGCAGTAAGTAAATAAGGTGGAATTAACATTCAGAAATTAAATAGTAACTTGTACCTCCATGTTCTGGTAATGCCTTAGACTACTACAGTGACTTTTCTTAGCAGTTTCCTCACTGCCATAGAACAAAGAGCAGAGTCTGCAGAAGAAACCTGTCTTGGGCACCACAAAGTCAACCCCTATGATGCACAGATTACAAAACAAAAAAATCAGCTTGGAGGTGATGTGATAAGGCCGTCATTGTTCACAGCATTATCAAACAAAGCCTTTTTGGTTATAGAAAGCCAAATTCAGAGCTGATGTTAGTGTCATTTGAAGTGAATTTCTTACCAATGGGGTTGTCTGGGGTAAACGGGGGCAAGGTGAAGTCTTCAATCACAGGGGATTGAGATCTGGCCTTTTTAACCTCGGGTTCCTGTATCGACTCAGTCTCCCGACGTTGCTTGGACTCTTCTGCAAATTAAAATGAAGGAAAGGTGTACGTGAGAATACGGTACACCCAGCTAAAATATTTTATTATGTGATGTACAATAGTTGTCTATGAGATTGATTACCTTTGATGGTGGATTTTTTATAAGAGATATCGCTTTCTGACATAGCAGATTTGTCATCATCTTTGGCTCTAGGCCTGTCCTCCTCTGACCCTGAAGAGAGCTCCAGACTCAACGAATCTTGAACCGTTTCAGCCTTTTGCGGTTCTGAGTTAACATTAAGATTGATGGATTCTAGAGCAGCTGCCGCTGGTTCACACTCCGTACTCATCTCAGGCTCCTCTGCTTCTTTAGCACTCTTTGTCGCCCCTCTTTTACCCCTTGTGGATCGCCTCACTACAAAGAGCAAAAAGGGTCAACAGTGATTACAAAACCCACAGGCTGTTTAGACTTCTTAAAAATCCTTTCGATCTTTTACTCACCTGGGGTCTGACGACCCCTCTTTTTGGGCTTTGTAGCTCTCTTTTTAACTTGTTTCTCTTCTTTGATCTCTTCACTAGGTGGTAGTTCGTCTTCCTCCTCCCCAACTTCATCCACAGTTACAAAATTCATCTTGCGGAGCTCTTCCAGGTCACATGAATCCTCTTCGTGGCTTGGTGATTTCACAGGCTCCTCTGGTATGATTAGTGTTGAGCTTCTGGGACTGGTTGACTTGGCTTCACTTTGCTCCAATTCCTCAATCTCCTCATCATCACCTTTGGCCTCATCCAAGGTTACAAGAGTCTGAAAGGACAAAAAAAGGCCATGTAATCATTAGGGCTGGGCGATATGGCGATATATATCGTTACCGCGATAGAAAACATCAGTCGTAACAGATTTTTTTATTCCGTGTATACCGCGAAATGCAAATAAGGGGGCGTGGTTAACTCCCGTGCAGCGCGCGTGAGACTGATGCTGAGATTTGTCAAAGAAACATGGAGAAAGCAGATCAAGAGGATCCACAAAGGAATTACATTTTCTAAAGGGTTGTTGTTAACGTGATATGTTCGGGGGGAAAGGCAGCCGTCAACTTCAGCAGAGCAGCAGCACCCAGGCTACAGTTTAGAGGAGTGAACGTTCGCAACGAGGAAAGCATGAAGTTACTTGATAACAACGTTTCATAGGCTATATCAATATCATTACGAGAAATAACCTTAAATAATGTATAGTTATCCGCATCTTTCCTTCTCTTATGTATAGTTACTTTTTAAACATGAAAATCGCATTCACAGCATGAATGAACATCCTGCTTTTTAAAACGAATGTATAATCCTGTTTCTGAGGCAAAATTACTAATATGCAGCGCGAGTTATATATGTTTTAACTCCAAACAATTTCCAACTGAACCAGTTGATAAAATCTTCCTTTGATTCGATCCGTGATTACAACTTCACTCTAATCGATCGCATTTTGTTGATGTAAAAGACGCGCGCGTGCACATGCACTAAGAGGGAGCGCGCGGTGTTCGACGCACTGTTATAAGGTGTGTATAATTTAAACTACTTAGTCAACACTAACAGTAGCAGCGGTTTGGTTTTCATATTGCTGCTCTCCTTCTTGTCACTTCTGAACTGACGGGTTGCCAGATATAACAAAAAGAGCAAAACAAGCCCGTTGAAACAACAGTGTGTGCAGTCTCCGGTTGTGCAGGAATACCCTTCTCCGTTAAAAACGCAGTATAATAAGCACATGTGGTAAAAAAATATTATAATTATATTATATATATTATAAACTGATTGATGAAGTAAAGCAATGCATGAGATTGAAAAATTATTTAAAGTTGAAATGCACCTATGAGTTGTATTTAATATCAATCTGTTGTGGGAGTGTTTTTTGTTTACTATATTTTGATATAAAAAGTAGTTTACCAAATAAATAATTTACCAAATAAAATAAAAATAAAACAAGGTGACATACTTTTCATTTCTAAAGAATTTGGGTTTATTTATTATACAAAGCCCTTTTTGCCGATTTTTTTTTTTTTTTAGGATGACTATATAAATAACTATATCGTGAAATATATCGTTACCGTGAAATAAAATTAGTCATATCGTGAAACACAATTTTGGTCATATCGCCCACCCCTAGTAATCATACAGGAAAGAACTAAACCAAACTATGGTAGCCTTAATGATGGGGTTGAAAACAATTTAAGTGGTGGCAACCAAAAAAGAACTGACCTCAGGGTTGAATGAATCAAATTCCTCCTCTTCATCAACAATCTCATCCAACGTGACCAGGCCTTGAAGTTCTTTGTCCAACTGGTATTCTTCACCCCCCATTTCATCTTCTCCAACCTCATCAACTGTTAAAAGTCCCTCAGGTACTTCATCAGCCTTTGAATGCTGATCCTCTTTTGATTCATCAAGATAATCTTCCTCGCCCTCACTGACCTCATCAAGAGTAACCAAAGCATCATGGGATGGAAGCACAGTTGCCTCATCTTTAATGTCCATTTCTGGGGCAGATGTTTCAGGCTGTTTGGTTTGGTCATCTTCTGATTTCACTAACGTTTCTGCAGAAGTTGGTGGGCAGCCTTCCTTCTGTGAAGGAGAGGAGGAAACTGACTGGCTTGGCTCAAATTCATCCAAGACCCCAGTGTCAGTGCTTTCTTTCAAGGTTGAAAGGGTCTCAACTTTGACATCCACCATGGCTGAAGCACTTTCAGCTACAGTACAAAGAAGTTCGGTTGTCTCACTCTTAACGGCAGTTTCCATCCCATCTGTTCCCAGCAGTTTATCAACACTCTTTTCCTGAGACTCATCCTCTTCTGGCTTTTGAGAAGTGACCACTTCCGCAACTGCCGCGGTTTCTTCAGTCTTGGTGTCCATGCGTTCATTAATTCCAGGTTCCCCTGTCTCAGAAGGTACAGTCTTGTCAGCATGTTCTGGTGGATTAGCTTGAATTGACTGTGCAATAGGAGAGACAATTGAATGGGGATCCTGAATCTTCTCAGAAGACTCGGAGTTTGAGGCCACAGTGTCCTCTGCATCATCCCCTACTTCGTCAACAGTGACAAACTCATCAATGTTAAATGGAAAAGGTTCTTCGTCGTTTTCCTGGAAAGCACAAATTCCTAAATCAGCAACGTCTATTTTTCCAGTCATTAGACCGCAAACGTGTTCAATGTAGATGCTTACCTTTTCGGTTGTCCTTGAATTTGAGTGACTCCTTGAGGGTTGTGAGTTCTTGCTATGACTCTATGAAAAAAGCCAAATCAACAAATCAAGCCAAAACATTAACATTTAAGAGCAATTCACCTTTGGCTAAGCCCCGCCCCCCTTAGTTACTGTTGCTACATCTGTCAATCTTTATCTGCGCTCTGCATGGCTTATGCTGTAACAGCTCTTCCTGCTGAAATGTTATCAAACTTTTATGAAGCAGCAAATAAAGTGTCCGATAGAAGTAGGCAAAAGGGGCTGCAATATGCGTTCGAAGGCTATATTCAAGACATACACGTGAAACGCAAGAAACAACAAGGCATCCAAAATAGAGGCAAAAGCATAACGTTAACGTTACCGGTCACAGTCAAAAAATGAACCACCGCATTTCCTACTAATCGAGACGGAGGCTGGGACTTACAATATCAGGGAGCAACACTGTTCATGCAAAGCTGGGTCTCTATTCCCTTCTATAATCGTTATTACAAAGCAAACGGACTACACGAGTATAACGTTGTATTTATTAGCAGCGTGTGCTAGTGTATCAACAACCGGTATGAGAACCGAAATCATTACCTAAAACATTATAAAACGGTCTAACTAATATAACTTCACACTCACAGTAAGGTTAGAAGTAAAAAAGATGTGCTTGTTGATCTTTGCGGGGTTTAGCCGACTGAGGACGTCCACACAGTTTAACGTTAATCCAAAGACGACACTTGTCAGGATTTTACTTTTTTTGGGAAGGGAAAAAACGGACACCCCCCTCCAACCTCTCTGGGAAACGCGTATCTGTGTTACAAATGTTCGAGGCACAACGTTTAACCATATTTTTGATAAAATTATGACGGTAATAGCCTGCCGAGAACAAAAATATGAGACGCCTGTGTTGAAAGTCAATGAAGCGCTGTGAAAAAGTGTACGACCTCTGTGGGAGCTCGTTCTTGGCTGCGCTGTGATTCGTCAATCTACATTCTAGGGCGTGGCTTAGCCAAAGGTGAATTTTGCAAGTGAAGAAACAGAACCATCAAAGTAAAAGCATATATATATATAGTCCTTCTCACCCTGCGATCAAGATCATGCCCCCTTGTTCGCTTTGATGGAGGGCTAGATTCCCGCCTACTTCTTCGGGAGGATGATCCCCCACGCCTGGTGGTGGGACCATCTTCTTCAGAATTACCCCTGTTCCTGTACCTAGAAGCGGACTCCTTCTCTGGGGATGAGGTGTCTACAGGCCTGCTTCTGGACCCAGAGTTCTGAGACTTTTTCTCAGCCTGTTTTTTTTTCTCTGCTTGAGAGGTTTTCTTAGTCGCTTGAGCAGGTTTCTTTGAGCTTGATGGACCTTTTGGGGTTGTCTTCACTGCAACTTTCTCCATCTCTGCCTTCTGTCTGGCTTCCTCTTCAGCACGTTTTAATGAAGACTGTAAGCGACACTGATGGACAGCTAATTCAAGGGCCTTCAAAATTTCCTGCGTAACCGGAGGAAAGTCCAGAGAGTCGTCGTCGACCTGGAAGGGCTCGGATACTGTTTGGGGAAGGTTTGAGGCACAATTAGCTGTGACAGATGAGTCAGAAGTGGAGGGCAAATCAGAGGCAGAATCTAAGGTTGAAATGGAGTCAGATGCAACGGCTGCAGGTTCAGTTTGATTACTTGACTCGTGCTTAATGTCCGCCTCTAAAGATTCAATTGGTGCCGCTGTTAAGTCATTCGATTGGCCCTCATTGTTGATCTTGAGCTCCTGTCCATATGCTTCCTCTTTGACATCAGTGCCTTTGGTAGGTTCTTCTGGACTCTCTGTCTCCATGGCCTCTACTGCCATTTCCTCACCGCTAACAGCTGAAGCAACAACATCCATTTCTGACTTGGACTCAACATTCTTGTCTTGCTTCTCATTGTCAATTTTGCTTTCTTCCACAGATGTGAGAACCAATTCTTTGGGAGCATCTTCAGCCTTTGGGATATTTTGATTGTTGTTCGCAAGAGAAGTCACTGTCTGATCAGTTGTGTCAGATAAGACAACGGATTCTGAAGAAGCCAATTCATACTCTGCTTTAGCAGACGGCACTGAAACAGTGGATTCTCCAGAGGGACCCGAGGATGCCAATTCAAGATTTATTTTCCCAGATTCAGAAGCAGGAACAGAGGATCCAACTACATTCTCAGTGCTCACAGATTCAACTGAAACAGCAGATTCTGATGCAGGAGCAGATGATTCAACTTCAGACTCTGCTTTTGCAGACTCAACTGAAACGGCAGATTCTGATGCAGGAGCAGATGATTCAACTTCAGACTCTGCTTTTGCAGACTCAACTGAAACGGCAGATTCTGATGCAGGAGCAGATGATTCAACTTCAGACTCTGCTTTTGCAGACTCAACTGAAACGGCAGATTCTGAAGCAGGAGCAGATGATTCAACTTGAAGCTCTGCTTTCCCAGACTCAACTAAAACTGCAGATTGTGAAGGAGAAGCAGATGATTTAACTTCAAGCTCTGCTTTCCCAGACTCAACTAAAACTGCAGATTCTGAAGGAGAAGCAGAGGATTCAACTTCAAGCTTTGCTTTCCCAGACTCAACTGAAACGACAGATTCTGAAGAGGGAACAGAGGATCCAATTTTAAGCTCCTTGTTCATAGACTCAGGTTCTGCACTGGGATCTAAGGATCCAGCTTCAGGTTCTTTTTTCCCAGATTCAGTCTCCAGGGTCACCATGACAGTTTCGGTAACTGCTTGGGTATCCATCTTTGCTTTAATCTCATGCGTTTCTGCATTAGCAGGCATTCCAACTGCAATGTCTTTGGGAGCTGCAGTGACTTCAGTTTTCAACTTTTCTTCACTATGCACAGTAGAGGCTGCTGCTGCCGCAGCCACTGGCTTTTTAGCTTTGACCGTATTAGGTTGACCAGGAGGCTTCGTTCTAAGGGGGGAAATTATTTTTAAATTTCCAGAATCATTGCATACAGAAAAGCTTAAAAATGTTGTTCTTCCACTCTTACCCTTTTGCATCTGGCTTCTTTTTCAGCTGTTAAATAAATAACATGGTAAGTTATTAATTGCCACTGTGAAACAAGCGATGCTAACACATACAAATGGCAAAAAAACTAAACATACCTTGATTGGTTTGGCCAGTTGGAAGTTGAGGGTATTGTTCTGGATTACACAACGAAACTTAACGAAGCGGATGAAAATAGCCCTAGCCATAGTGACATTCTCCATTTCAAAAATTATCTGAGATTGAAAGAAAATGAAAAACAGTCAGCTGAGATCTTATACTTTCCTTTAATAATGGAAATAGATATTATGCAAGTAAAAATAAGAGTTAGAGAATAAAGTTAAATTTGAGTTTCTTACCCTGCCATTTAGAGGCAAAACCTTCTTGAATTTACCATAGCGTTTGATTACGGTCTCTACTTCTTGGATTGCCTTAAGTGTTTTTGGTACATTACTAACAATGAGAAGGCGTTCAGGCAATGTGACGATTTCCTGTGGTCAGAAAGGGAAAAAAAAAAGTATTCACTATAGAAAAAGTCAGAGTTATTTCTTTTAAGCTTTTAAGTCAGTGTTTTCTCTTCAGCCTTTACTTACAGGTGATTTCTCCATGTCCATGAACACTCTGAAAACTGACTCCTTGGGGAAGAAAAGGATAAAACAGTTGGTCAGTACTAACCAGTAGTAATCAAGAGTATAAATGTACTCTTTTACACAACAAAGAGAGCCCATTTTGCCAGTGTCGTGTTCTTAAATGAGAACATAGTGTTTAAAAAACTGTAATTCATTAATAGGTACAAAATAGATTGGATTTCTTTACAGCAGTACGTCACAAAATATGTCACACCATCATAGCTTTAATGAAGGAGTATTATTAGTACAGACATCGTGAAAGAGGCTAAGAGACCAAAGAGAACGTTGACAGAGGAATCTACAAAAAAGTGTAGATCTACAAAAAGAATCCTGTGTTTCTAAGACATTTATAAATATCTTTTCCTCTTTATAATTTCACACAGAGATGGAGTGCACACTCACGGTATAGTTCAGATCAATAGGTTGCAACATCATCTTCACGGTTATCTCTTTGTCTTTCACTTTAGCTGGGTTCTCAGAGTAGGCCTTCACCATTGCTTCAACTGCCTCTGTGTTGGGCATTTGCAAGTAGGCCTAAAAACAACAATAACAACAAAAAAACTTAAAATACATAACAATATGATATAAAACACTATAATTAATAAATACTAATAACAATATAAACGTAAGAAGACACCATCCATTTTTTAAATCAAGGATTTATGTCATTTTTGCAGTATGTCATTCAACAAAGACAGGAAATATGAATCAGCGCATAGGAATAGGAATCAGTCTTACACCAAGTTAATCGGCTAATGTATCTGTTAGGAATGTTTTTATTTTTCACAAATTATAATCTAGCTCATATCCATTCCTTCTAGTAGCGTGGATACATCAGCTAACTTTAACAGAAAATCATTGTTTAACTATCATGGGAAAAAATTGACTTGATGTTTCAGGCTATCAAATTTGAGATTTCTGATCCAATTTATTTGCAGGCTTCTATGACTGCAATATGCTGCGTTTTCCATCAAATGTCAACTAGTGATGTCGAAATACTATTGGGAACGCACATTTTAAAGCAAAGTAACTGGCTGTAACATTGTTGTTGTTGTTTTTTTTAAAACGCATATTTGAACTTAGCATGTTTCCTAAATCTCTGCAAACATATTATTGTATTTTTATGCGTTTTTACCGTAAAAAAAATTACATACAGCACCTTTAATGTTATTACCTTCTGTAGAGTGATAGCTATGACAGGAGTTTCAGTGAACCCATATGGTTTAGCAAGATTGGTGAGATCATCCTCAGTAACCCCTTCCTCTGGAAGATTGGTAATCTCGACTATATTTTTTCTCCAGGGTACTTCCTGCAGTCAAAGAAAGAAGGTAGAAGTAGTTATTTGTAAAAAAAAAAAAAAAAAAAACAACATATGATATATACTGTATGTGTATGCAGTTTTGAGGGAGAACCCTAAACAACATACCTTCTTTACAATCTTCTTGGCAACTGCGGTCTCTGCCAAATTACACAAACAAATGTTATACAGATTGTCCAACATGACCACAGGAACAACTACAAAGGAAGATGCAATAACTTACCTGAACCCTTAGCAGCAGGTTTAACTTTAGCTGCCTGTACCATCTTTTTGGGGTCGTTCGGTTTTCCCTTGGTTACTTGAGGTGTCTTGGGACCTGGCAACTCTTTTGCTTTAGCTGGCTGAGATGCCTTCACTGGATTTGCACCCTTAGCTTTCACTGACTGAGTAGGTTTTGTCATAGTCATCTCTTTTCTGTAATAAGTCACAAATACATTCACAGAATAGAACATTTGTAAAATGATCAAAACAGGCATATATATATATATATATACACACATAAATTATGTGAATCTTTAGATGCAAAACCATGCATGCATGAGAACTTACTTCTTAACAGGTTTTCTCCTATCATCATCCTCTCTTGGATCCTACAAAAGCGCACAGATCAGATTTAAACCCAGGCCTCGGTATAGTTCACATCTCTAAGTGGACTTGACAGAGTCAAACATACCTTCTCCATGCAGATCTTAATGACCTGACCACGAATTGTCAGGTGCTTAAAGTTGAGCAAAGCTCTGGCATCCTCCTCTCTCTCCATACATATAGAGGCCTGAAGAGAGGAAGCATCACAAATGTTTGCTTTCACAAATTAGCGGCAATTTGGGGGTGACAATCGCTTGAATGGTGGGTTCATTATTACTCTTAATAAAAACAAAACAACAAAACAGTATGACAAAATCGCTTATATAAAACAGAACTTTTATTAAAACGAAACAGATGGCGTTATTAGCAAAAGGAATAAGCATGGCAGCCTCATTCCTGTGGTACACTTGAAGGTGTGTGTGTAAATTAGAAGTCTTTCCTCTGGAAGTTGCCACCTTCATCAGGGAAAGTTTACAGATTGCCTTATTAATGTTTGCAGGTTCCCAATTAGCATTGGTTTTAAATCCAAAATATTGCCAAATAGGCGCTTTTACATTTTGCTTTGAAACCAAATCTTAGTAAAGTCAGTAAGCTTGCAGTCTTGCCTCACTGTCGTCAGCGACTCTCGCTGAATAAAGGCACGTTCAATTTTTAATCGTAGTGTCTGTTCTTTAACTGAACTAAATTATCTTTATTATTATTATTATAAAGAAAATATCAAAACAATGGTGGAGGGCAAGGTTGGGCAAGTTATGTAATCAGTACGTGGCCAACTATCGCAGCAAGCCTAATGCTAAGAATTCACCTTCGCCATTACAGGAATAAATGACATTTTAAAATAAAATAGAAAAGCTATGTTCAATTCACAATATTGCAGTGTTTACTGTATTTACCTCTCGAATCGCCTTCAAGAGGATGGCAGTGTAGACCTTCCCAAAAGGTTCAATGGCATCAGACAGTTCTTTGTTGGTAGTCCCAAGAGGAAGTCCAACGAGCCTCAGCAAACATGATGTACCCGGGGCAACCCTGCCTTTAGGCTTCATTTCATGCAAAAACAAAGATAGCAATTAGATTTCATATTTTTAGCACAGTCAGATACTCTTTTTTTTTTTTTTCAAAAGTGTTTTCTAAATTTCTAATTTACAAGTGCATGTAACTGCTGTATGAAGATGTACCTTTGGAGCACTGGTGGTCTTTGTGACGGAGGGTCTGCTTGACTTGGTGTATTCAGTTCTCTTAGGTGAAGGCGGCTGTTTCCAGCTACTGCTGCTTCCCTTTGATGAGGAAGTAGAGGGAACACTCTTCTTCTTTGCTAGCTCAGCCAGCAGGGCTGGTGCCAAGGACTTCACCACAGCCTTCAAAGTATTACTGTCTGTAATTGAGGAAAGCTCAGCTGTGGGGAAGAAAAGAACTTCATGTAGTAGTACACCAAGTGATTTGAAAGCAAAAAAACAAATTGTAATTGTAATAAGTGATCTTACCCGATGACATGAGTTTCATGGCCAGTCGTTCAGTACTGCTGGATCTCTGCTGCCGGGACGGGCTGCTCCTGCGGGGACTCGAGCGGCGTGGAGGAGAGCGCCTACTGTAACCTGGAGACCTTGATCGTTGAGATGGAGGACTACGGGACCTTCGTCTGTAAGAAGACTTCCTATGGGGTGACCGGCTGTGACTTCTGCTACGCCGGTACCTTCTAGGGCTTCGGGATCGGGATCGGGAGCGTGAACGGGATCGTTTACGACGGCTTGAAGACTCATGGTGCCGCTTCGGGCTGGGGGATCTGGAGTACGAGTGTGATCGGGTGCGTCGCTTTGAGCTGCTGTGTTCTGATTTGGGCTCAGGTCTGTGGATGATTGCCATTTTTAAGTTAATTTAAATGCTATTTAAATGAACAATTGTCTTATAACATGAACAATTGTCTTATAATGTATAAGATATATATATATATATATATATATTAGGGATGTCAAATGATTAATCGCATCCAAAATAAAAGTTTGTGTTTACATAATATATGTGTATAATTATTTTGTGTGTATATATATATATATATATATATATATATATATATAAATACACACACACATGCATGTATATGAAAAAATATGATTTATGTATAAAATATTTTTATTTATATATAATGTAAATTCTATAGAAATCTATATACAGTATATACATGAAAATATTTCTTAAACATATACAAGCATGTGTGTGTATTTATTTATATATATATATTTAAAATAATTATACACAGTGCCCCCACATATATTATGTAAACACAAACTTTTATTTTGGATGCGATTAATCGCAATTAATAGTTTGACAGCCCTAAAAAAAATTTTAATAATTAATTAAATTAATTAATAATATATATATATAAAGAAAACAAATAAGAAAAAAAACACACACACACACACATTTCTAGACCTAAATGCTCAAGATTGATTTTGGTAGGGATTTACCTTGAAACTGAGACAGAATCAACCTTCCAGTCAGGGTATCTATAATAAAATAAATATATGGCTTTTCGTTAGTTAAATGAGAAATTCTCCTATGGAATTTTTAGGTAAAGGAGAACATGAGTAATAGGAGCAAATCATAAAACACTCACTGTTTCCTAAGACGCCTACAACTCTCAATGTGAAGATTTGTGTTCTGATGTTCAAGCCAGTCCTGTGAACAAAACAAAACAAATACTTTAACAATATCTTTGCTTTTAAAATAATGAGTACGTGTTTTAAACAGTGCAATTGATCATGAAACAAATTGGTGTAACAGATGACCAAGATCTGTAAATAGATTAAAAAAATGAAATACCAGAGGTCGAAAAAGTAAGACATGATAAAAATTGTTTAACCCACTATTAGCGCACACAAAAAAATGTCCATGATTGTCATGACAAAACTTCTTCATGACGAAAAAAAAAGGGTCCAAAGTGTGTTCTTCAGAGATTACGGAGATGGAGACCACCATCTGCGTCTTCGGCACCGTGGAAAGTCATCAGGTCTGCATTCACAATATTTTTTTCAGCCAGTCCAAGGTTAAACTTAAACTAGGTCTCAGCAAAAAAGGTTTTTCATCAGGCTTCCCCAGGTTCCCCGAAACCGGGCTGATTCGTTTTCTTCTGAAGATGGATATGGCTTGGAGTAGACAAGATGCATTTTTTTTTCAGCCATGGTTTACCAGCTGTATTATCTACTCTATTTATATCAGCTTATTGGCTTTTTTTTCTTACTCACAATGAACTGCACAATTATTGAGCAACTGAAGTTAACAAACATTAAAATATCATTATAGGTTTCTGATATTTTATTTCAGATTTAAATTTAGTACAGTTTTAGCTCAAAGTTCACCAACACATGGAAATGAATTAAACAGCAATCGAGACCCTTTACATACACCGAATAATGCAAACATCTTTCAAATGAGGCACTACTGGGTAAGAAGATACTCACCTTAATCTGGACACATTCAATGTTACATAGAGAGCATGTATGAGGAAAGATTCTTGGAGTAGCTGCTGAGTAATCATTCATCATGGTAGGAGTCGGAAGCCTCTTGGTGGCGGGCACGTTGACTGGAGGCGAAAGGAACGGGATCCAGTTGGCATTCGCTCCTCCGGAGATACTGTTCATGGCCATCATAGGAATAGGAAGAAGACCAAGTTGAGGCGGCATCTGTGCAGGAGGTCGACTCTGGGGTTGCAGAACAGTCTGGGATGCAGATGGTCTCACCGGGATCGTCTTCACGAGTCTTGGATCTACCGTTGGAGGTTTCTGAAGCTTTGGAACAGGGACTGGCGCAGGCTGGCACGGCTTAGGATGCTTTGCGATGTCCATGCCACTGAAGGGTGGTTTGGAGACCTCACTCACATACTTTGGTGACTCTTTAGGCAGGTGTTGTTCACTTGCATAGTCATCCGCATTCTCCTCGGAGTAGCCAAATTTACTAGAATGTCTATAGTCAATGACTTGAGATCTCGCGTCAACGTCCCTTTTCACTTTCCGCATACGGATGTCCCGCAAAATGAACGGTAGGTTGTCAGGAGTCAGTTGATCATCTGGATAGTGACTTAAAAGCTCGAGGTCCTCATTGGAGAGTCCAAAGCTTGCTAGGATGCTGCTGGCACTTTCAGAGGTGTAACGTGAAGGCCGCTGTTCTGGTGGAGGTTGGCCGTCCAAACCGCTTGATCCTCCGCCAAAACCCGGAGACTGGAACAGCTGCGACGAACCGGAAGGACGATCCAAGCTTGAAGATCCGAAGAGCTTGCTGGGGCCTTGGTATATGGACCAGTCCACCTCATCAGATCTCGAAGACCCTGAAAAGATGTTCCCTCCGGAGGAAAGCACCTCATCCCTTGTGTCCTTTCTCATGCGGGGATCTACTTTTTTGGGTTGCTGGAGCATTTGCGTGAGAAGGCGCACTTCCTCGCGGGCTCCCCGAAGGTTCTGGTCTATGGCGGCTTCGAGATCTGGGGAAATCTGTGACTGCCGTTGTCCTAGTGAGAAGGGCTGGTTGATCAATCCCCCACGAGAACCAGATATTGAACCTGGGCCAAGACGGGCTGCCCCAAGCTCTATTCGAGGCTGTGACCCAAGACCATATTGGCCAGGCACAACAGGTCTCTGAGGGATGGGCAACAGCCCTCCACGGGGATTATACAATGGGTGCGACATGGTGACCTTAAGCAAGTTGAGCAAGGTCAAAGCAGGTGTTGCAATTGCAGACGGAGTAACGCTTGTGCCAGCAATTGCATTCAGCTGGTGCAGTGCCAACTGAGTCTTTATCTGTGCCAACTGGAGGGAGACGGGGCCTAAGACCGGCAGACTCCCAAAATGTCTCAGGGAATTTGCAACAGGGGGCACAAAACTTTCCAAGAACAATGAAAAGCTGGAAAAATTAGGGGGAAAAAAACACACAGAAAGTGTTATTGGCTTGTCGTCTTCACGTCCTCACACAGAAACTGCAAAACGGCTGCGACCATTTTCCCCTTCTGTCACACTCTCAAATCTCCAGCTTCGACGGATTAAAACAGGTTTCCATGTCTTCACTGAAGAAGAAAACAGCAAGCAAAAGGACAAGACAGACAAAGGAAAATAATATCACAGTTTTAGAGTATCTTTACACAACATTCATGCAGGAGTTTTTGGCCTGGATATGAACAGGAGGGACAGACATGGCTTAAGACAGGAAAACATGATGGGTCAGACTGTTAATTCATAGATATTAGACAAATGTATTTTATGAATACTGTGAGCAGTATGAACGGTCCATCCATGTACACTAGCGTGAATCATCTTCGTGATCGGTTTAATGAAAAAATAAAGAGAATAACAAAAGTCTACTGCTGTAAAGTAAACTAAAGAGCTGCTGCACTAAACAATACTCAAAACAACAACAAATTCTAACTGAACATGGGCTGTGTTTTCCAAAAGATTTCTACAATCTACTTAGGCTTACGGTGCTTTTGGGAAACGCAGTGCACAAAGTAAAGATGTGAATGGTGAAACCTCAATTAACCTTAATATAATTCAAATAGTAAAAGTGTCAAGCCAAGCAAATCAAAGTGTTAAGTCAACAAGAAATGGCATTTATTTTCCATAATATCAAATGTTTTTCAGAGTTAAAAATAAAAATTGTAGGGCAGGATGTAATTATATTTCATTAGAATAAAAAAAAAAAAATCTGTCCTTAAATGGCCCTAATTGGCGTAAGCTTAACAGTTAACAGACAATAAAGTCGGCATCAGCATGAAACGAAAGTTTCCATATCTATTTTTCAAATGTGTCATTTATCTTATGCTTTTTTATATCTTAATCTTTAATCAAAAAAAATTCGCAAATCATTTAGTCTACTTAAGCCTTGTCCCTGCAGGCATGCATTAAAAGGAGAGAAATGTAAAGAATGTTGGTAATCTAACAGTTGACGGTAATGATTGTCTTTCAAAGTAGGAAAAAATACTATGGAAGTCAATGGCTACCGTCAACTGTCTTGGTCACCAACATTCTTTAATGCCTGGTTCAGATTGCACAATTTTTTTTTTGTCTGTTACGATAGTCACTGTGTCAGATTACGCGATTTTGGCTCCTAAAATCTAGTCGTGTCGTGGACAAGACACATGTCAGACTACACGTTACTTCCTGACCAGTCATCGCATGCCGTCTTTAACAGCGCGCGTGATGTCATCGAGAAGGCAAAACTCGTAGCGAGTGAGTTCCTGGATTGCTCGGCATTGCCTTTTCAGCGTGAGAAATACACGGTGTGGAGTGTGTGAACTGGTTGAATTGCATGTCTCACAAGCCATTGCGTGAGACTTGAGAACCCTGCTCGAAGAGGACAATGTGGGCTGTCAATCCTCCAAAGTGAACTTGTGGTAAAATATTGTTTTCTTATATATTTTTACTTCTAGTTTTAACGTTAGCACCATCCTCTTTTGTTTTGTCTTTTTTGAAAGTTGTATACGGAAAAGATTGTGCTCCTATTGGTCAACCTCATACATGTGACGGAACCGTCATGGACGACCATTAAAAAAATGAAACATGCTAGTCTTTTTGTCGTGATGTGGTGAAGCATCGCAGACGCGACGTAGGTTGTCGCCCACTGTGACACACTATACGAGATGATACGATCGAATCTTGCGTCCTGACGCCCGTTGTCATTTACGAATCCCCACGACACCCTACGTCAAACGGATCGTGCCAAAATCGGGCTAAAATCGTGTAATCTGAACCAGGCATAATATTCTCTTAAAATATCTTTTGTGTTAACTCAAACAGGTTTGGAACAACATGAGGGTGAGTAAATGATGACAAAACTTTCATTTTTAGGTGAACCTTCCCTATAAGCTGCCTGCATTTTTGGAGATGGTCCTCACTGCAGAACATGAAATCCACAGGGAGGAGTCGTATCCAGATCTAACTCCTCCCACCTTACATATAGACCATTTCACAAGATGTAAACACTGGTCCAGAAGCACTTCCTGTTTCAGTTTTTTAACACTACATAAAAGCTGGGATAAAATACAACCAACAGAACATTTAAAACTGAATCAAAAAGTTAAGATGTTTTCTTTACATGTGAAATAAAGAAAACAGTTACAAACTGAAACAGGAAGTGCTTCTGGACCAGTGCTGTTTACATCTTGTGAAATGGTCTATAGCTAAACCTAACCAGCTCCACCCCCTGATCCCTAAACCCCTCCCAGCCCCACCCCTGAGATCTGGATCCGACTCCGCCCCCTGGATCTTGTGTACTGCAATCAGTCAACGAGTCCCAGCCCTATATTTGTTCTCAATAATCTGTTACTTTTAGATATCCGTCACAAGATGGAAAAATAGATTTATTTCATCATGGATTTACACTGTTGTGTTAAAAAGTACCCTAAAACAATATCAAAACAAGTGCAGATGTCAGTCAAAAAGAAACACATTTTTCTCATGAATAACGTGCACTAACAAAATTATGCACAATGAGACAAGTAAATTAGGTCAATCTTGATTTCAGTAGCCTGACTGATTAATTCCAAACTTTCTTAAACAAAACTTTAAAGGTATTGGTCTCAATATCAGAATTTGAATTAACATAAAAATAAAATACTGTATTAACCACCATGCATCTGAAAACCAACAAGACTGGGTCTTGTATTGTATTTACTGGCATAACTCAGCAGGAAGTGTTTTCAGGAAAATATTTAGGCTACTACAAAAAAAAAATAATAATAATAATAAAAGTGTCTCAGACGTGAGGCCGCCATCCAGCGACTGAACACAAAATGTCCACTGAACGGCAGCCATTTCTGATAGCAGGCCTATGCCCTGTATTAAATGTCAACAACTGGACACTGGCCAGAGAATTTTGGGGGGCATTTTAAAGAAATACACAAACACGACACGGTGTTATAACCCAGCATCTGCTTCAGTTCCCAGAGTAGCAAAACTGGAGCACGTGTAATGCAACTAAACCATGGCAAACAACTGCCAAAACACGTATTTGTGATGAGACTGACCAGCTCGATCGACCGTGAAGCGTGATAAACAAACATAAAACTATAAGTTACAGCTCCCATTACGACACCGCAAGATCGACCGTCGATCATTTTCAATGGCGTTATAATCTGGATGGGGTGTTTGCGTGCGTGATGGTTTTGTTGCCAGTGGATCTCGTACAAAAATGAAAGCAATGTTTAAATGAAATACGCAATATGTGTGATCTGATGGGCAGATCGGTAGTGAAAACCACTGGATCAGTGCAGGCCTCGGGCTCTGCAGCTTCGCCATAAGTTTCGTTTACCTCGCTCTTCGTCGGCGTCGTCATTTTACAGAGCAACAAACACTTTATTCGACAAAGAAATCGCCACATTTACACTACAAGGGCTATAGAACACTATTCCAATGCATCACAGTAACATACCTCGTATTTTAATATGTAAAATCTTACGATGGAAATGCATCCGATGAAGAAAACGCTCCGATTTCAGGGGACGGTCGGTTTGCGTCTCAGACGTGACTACTCGATCGACGAGTTGTAGAACAACACAAATAGTCAGGAAAAGCAATCAAACCAGAACCCTTGTGATACCTCGTGAAAACTGTCAAACTTTCAATTATTACGTACTTTTTATTTCGCGGAAAATGGTGAACTTTTTTGCACTGTAGGAAAAGGAGATAGGTTTTATGCCGTTTCTTGTGAACAGCAGAAAGGGAATCCTTTCCTTCAAGGATATCCAGGAGATGGCAGTGTTTTCATTTTTTTGAGACTCTGCTGGGACTGCTAACACATCACGTAACAATGTAGGCCTACAAACGTTATAGTTTTCCCTCATATATTTCAATGAGCTAGGGATATATATGTATTTTAGCATTTTTTTTTTAATGTTCTCTACAGAATATTGCATTCGTCAATGTTCACATTTAGTGTGATAAAGCACCTGTAACTTAAGTAACGTTAACTTCCTGAATAATTTCAGGTTTATTTTTGGGCCAGTCAAAATCTGATATTCTGAAGTTCAGAGTCAGACTCTCAGTGTTGATGTTCTTGACATCTAATCCTTATCACAAGGTCAGAGATTTTGTCACACCAATGTCTCTCTCACATTTCACTGTTTTTGAAAGAAAATGTATCAAACAAATATTGAGATGTTTGTTACTTTAATTCTTTGGTGCATTTATTTTCTTGTTCGTTAAATTATGTTTTGTTAATATGACATTTAGTAAATCAATGATGTATTACCAATGGTAATACATCATACAATGCAATGTTTCAAAATGATGTAAAATGTAATGATTTTTACATTTTTACAATGTAAAATGATTTTTGAAGATCATCATGGTAATTTACCATGATGATCTTCAAAAATCATTGTCTACTTTGTTGATTTTATGCTAAATTTTCTGAACAGACACTATCAAACCACTTAATGGATTAGTTTTATGATCACTTTATAAACTTTTTGAAGTGTAAAAGTGGTAGTTGTGTAGGAGGGACAGAATACTCTCTTTATAACTTTATTTGTTTTCTGAAGATGAACAAAAGTCTTACAGGCTTATAGCATAGGTTTAGAGCAACATGAGGGTGACAGAATTTTCATTTTTGGGGGAACTTTCCCCTTTAAAGATGTAAACAAGTTCATATTGGGCTGTTTTATCGTGTTTTATTACTTTTATGATGTGAAGCACTTTGGATTCCTGACGGTTGTGTAAAGCGCTATAGAAATAAACGTTGATTGATTGATTGATTGATATACTATGTCTTATCTGAGATGTAGATCAAATCTTATTTTAATCACGTTCATATATCTTTCATAGAAAACCATCAGCTTTAATGGAATCTGACTGCTTTATCCAATCAAGTTTGTTTTGAGTTGTATTTGTAAGGTTATAAGAAAACCCCTGATCCCTCTCTGTGCATCATATTGCAGATCAGGCTTCATCAAGTGACCCAGAGAAGCAGTGTTATGTGGCTGACCATGCATACAGTAAGCCCCAGCAGGATGACATCTGATAAATCACTGAACCTGTTCTTCACGCATCTTCCTTTCTGGTGGATAGTAACACTATTGGTCAACAGATCGGGATCAGTAAGGTAAAAAGAAAGTAAAAGAAAATAACACTTTTCTTTTGCAAAGACACATTACATTGATTTAAAGGAACAGTTTCAAATCTGTTTCAAATGAATTTTGTTCTATCAAACCTTGTATTCCTAAAATAATCCTGGAAAAAAAAGGTGATGGTTTCCTCAAACATATTAACCAGCAAAACTGTTTTCAACATTGATAATAAAAAATGTTTCTTGAGCAGCA